CCCATACACAAGTGTGGCACCACCACAATTGATGGTCTTGACCATAGAACAGCATGTTATGCACCATTTCCATTCAAAAAAATGGCCAGCCCTATTTCTGTTTGAGGCCCAAAAAATATATAAGGTTGAAAAATTGCCAACCTTTCATCTCTCTATCAATTTTCGTATTACCAGTGGATTGTTTAGTGCAAAAAAAATATTTTTTTAAAACCCAAGGTTGAAAAAAAACGGCCAGCCCTTCATCTCTTCAGACAGACGTCTACGGACGCAGTGCTATGCCGAACTATACGCTGCCCTTTGAGAAACATGGGTCAGTGGTAGATTTGTGGGTAAGGGGAGGAACCAGAGCTGTTCCCAGCCAATGCTCTGGACCACCTGACACTTTAGTGCGGGATCGGGATACGAACCGGGCACCTATGGTGTCAGTCCCCACGACTCTAACCACCTAGCCACTCAGGCTGGCCTGGAGAGGTGATGAAAAAACGTTCCACTTATACACCAACAGCCTATTACATCATTGTAAAAAAGGCGCACATCCCCGGGATCGAACCAGGGACCTCACGATCAAGAGAGGGGGTGCTTATCCATTATACACCACCACCCATTACTTGAGGGAACAGTGTGAATGGAAAGCACTAAAGTGCAAACCCTCGGCGAAGTAGCTCGCAGAGAGTCTGACACGGGCAAGCTACAGTAGCAGATAGCACGCGAGAGTCGATACACGCCATTCGTTGTAACTTCTTGTGCCTTAGTTCAAGATAGACAGAGCAAGCGGACCGGTGTCGCGGTACATTTCATCAAATTTTCCTAGGATATTCTATCCGCACCCGGGATATTTTATACCCCGTGCTGTGCGTTATTAGGAGTGTCGAAACGCAGGCGGGGTGTGTTGTTTTGAGGTTCTGTGGGGGATTTCAACGTTACAGAATGCGATGACAGCCTTGTTTGGAGTTACACCAGCGGACTGTAGAACACTACCGGATATCCCAGCGAGCGTGGGGCTCAGGTTGCAGGTGAATGCGAGCAGACCCGCGCAACCGCTGTGTCTCGAAGAGAAAGAGAGTGCAGTCGTACAGATTCAACTCGGTATGCATGAGCAGCGACGGCGCCAACAAAATGGTCCCGCGCGTTTACCGTATGCGCAGAAACTTTTCTTATTAGAGGGATAAAATATCCGGACCCCGGATATTCCACACTAAGAGTATTATATTCTATCCCCCGGATAAAATACACGGGGGATAAAATATACTGTGACACCGGTTCGACCGCATGCGCGCCGAGGGTAATTGAGAACAGCTAGCTCACAAGCTTGACCAGATTACAATTAGATGGAAGCCCATTCTGTGTAAGTTTTGATGATTGACTACTCAGAAGGCTGTTTTTTCTTTCTCATTTTGGCCCATAAATGATTTTTTTTTGAAACAAGTACAAGCCATGATAATTATTAGGATGAAAACTGAACGCTTAAGGTAGGGGTGAAAAACGGTTTTATACTGAGCGATTATGATATTATCAGTGTGACCAGTGATACTATGGCAATAAGAGAGAGACAATGATTTAATGGGGCGGAGTCTGTTGCTGATGGTGGGCGTGGCTCTTCCGTACTGTTAGTGATCATCAGTCTTGTCATTTCCATGGCAACGCCTCCATTATTCCACACTACACACCAGTACAGACCTTTGTCTTGCGACAGAACCTCGTCAAATACCAGAGTCCCATTCCCATTCTGCCATACTCTGGAGCCAGACATGGGAACCACACGACCCTTCATCATCCAGAGAAAGGTCAGAGGAGAGTCCTGGTGGGCGGAGCTAGCAGAGCAAGACATCTCTAGTCTGGCTCCCACTGGTGAGGTGTAGCTCTTTGACCAATTAGCAGAGGTAATTACAGGGGCTGCCTCGTCCGGAGCTGTATTAGTGGAAAGTAATAATTATTTGTGAAGTGGTTGAGTGAATAATAAACTCGAAGACTTTTGTGGAGGTCCGACTGATGTAAAGCCAAATTGTCTGGGAGCTACTTATATACGACGGTTACAGTGTTGGTCTGCTTATCTTTACCTGCATCTACAAACAAGATGGTTTCCATGGAGACTGTTCCAAACAAATTGGTGGCTTCACATCGATAAATTCCAGTGTCTTGAGTCCGTACTGGGTCGAATACCAGGGTCCCATTCCAGAGTGGGGAGATGGATGAAGATGAAGGAAGGGGGAGGGGCGAGAAAGGGGGGGAGAGGGGGAGGATGGACCATGAGACAATGGGAGGAGGGTAACTGTGGGCACGGCAGTGGAGGTGTGAAGGTGTGGGGGTGTGGGGAGTGGAGAGGGAGACGACGTGCAGTGGGGACCAGTTGTAAATGGACGGAGGTCCGGTACCGTCTGCAGACACAGGAGGCAAATTAACTTTTTCAGGCCCTCCCAACATACATAAGGGAAATATTTAAAAGCTGCCGCACGCCTAATTCAAAAATCTTGACATAAGGTGACAGCGCAAAGCTCTTTCAGCTCAGATAGTTTGCAAGAGTATTCGTTCACTTAAAAAAGCGAAAATTTTTCATGCCCTCCCAACTGATAGATGAGGTTCTCCCCCAATGGTTCCAGCTTTAAAAATATTGTTCCTCGCTGCTTGCACTCTCCTCACCATGACAACGAAGGTTTCGGATGGCCTTTGACTACTCCACAGTCCAGTGTTAGGTTGCTACCGGCAACAAATCCCACCATTACCCGACTATTCGTAATGACAGGGGTAATATGTTGAAGCTGACGTAAAAACTTTCTACCCAGATTTTCTACAATTCGCATTTGACCAAAGTAGGTAGTAAGTCGTTACCTGGATGTGTGTTGTAGAGATGGGTGTAGGCGAGGTCAGAGCCGACTCTGTTCCATACCAGGCAGGCGTACGGTCCCGAGTCCATGTCAGAGACATTGAGAATGGTCAGGGAGCCATTGGCGTGGGTAACGAAGTGGGTGTGGTCAATCAGGGGTACTCTGACCCCACTGGGCAGTAGAACACGATGCCTACATGCAGTGGAATAAGAAAACATTTGTGGAAGAAGAATTTGTGAGGAATGAGCTTTGGGACTGAGTATACATTAAACATACTGGTCCAATTGTAGAAAATAATGAAAATCACATATTCATAGATGAGGTTCTCCCCCAATGGTTCCAGCTTTAAAAATATTCTTCCTCGCTGCTTGCACTCTCCTCACCATGACAACGAAGGTTTCGGATGGCCTTTGACTACTTCACAGTCCAGTGTTAGGTTGCTACCGGCAACAAATCCCACCATTACCCGACTATTCGTAATGACAGGGGCAGTTACTTCTCCCTCACAGACACCGTTGACACATTCTGTATTAGAGACAATATATGTAGGAGGAATTGAAACTAAAAAGGAACATTAGCATACAAACTGTATGGAAACAGGTTCACTGGATTTGTGTAAGTTACAATGTGGGGTAACAAAAGACCAATACAAGGAGCAATGTATGGTGTGGAGTAAAAGTAACTGTTCTCTCAAAAAACAAACATTACTGGCTATGTGCAATGGTTATTTTTGTCATTGTGGGTGTGGCACCAATATTATGTCAAATGTTTCTTACAAATATCGCTTTAGCCTAACACTAATGCCGCATAATGGAAGAGAAATGCACTGAAATGGGGACAAATCAACCTCAGTAAAATGTCCTGTGGAGGTATTTACCCAGACAGACAGGGAGCTGTGTCCAGGACCCATTCTGACACTCAGCTGTTCTGAACGTCTTCTTCAAATGATAGCCGTCATCACACGCCAGGTTAATCTTTATTCTGAAGGGGGCGTGGCTCTTGGTGATTGAGTAGGTGTGGCTTATTTTTGGGATTGTTCCATTAGGAATGTTTGGAAGATGGCAGCTGTGTGTGAGGGAGGGAGAGGAGGCAAGTCCCGTGAGATGACACACCTCCAGCTTGTATCGGTGGGCCCTGTAAGAGAAGAAGTCATCATTTTCAGCCAAACTGTTGACAAATGGTTTCAGTATTCACAGTCGGGACATGCCCTGAGGAAAACATTGTGGTAACAGTTTGTTGAACCCCCATGTCTGGCGACCAATGGACCATGTATCTATCCTCATTCCATTGCTCTAGCCTTACTGCAGAGACTCCCCATGTATATAATGCAGGCAAGTTTTGAGGTAAAACTTCACCAAACATCACATAATGTTTTGCCAGGATTCCATCTGTACAATGAGTGCTACCTGAAGTTTTTCTCCCTCAAACATTGCAGAAACCTTTCCCCTCGAAAGTTGTCTTCTTTTTCCTCAGTCTATATATGAGCTAACCTCCTCACAGAGTGGCTGAGAACACTCCTCAACACCCAGGGGTGAGGGAGAGGAGGGACGGAGACGCCTTCCCCAGGTCTTCCCAGCCATCTGGTCCAGCTGCAGTGGTCCAGGGAGGCGCCGACTGGAGAGCGGACGCAGGAAGCCACCCGAATCACTCCCTCCCCACTCCTCCCCGCCTCTTTCTCCCCTGAGCCAGCCGGTTCTCCGTCAGCCTGAGGCGGGACGAGGCCCGAGACGACGGTGTGGTGCAGACAGCCTGAAGTGAGCTCCACTAGGCCAGGGATACTGTATACAGACGAGGGAGAGGCTGCGGAGAAGGGGGAGCTGGCGTCTGCACGCTGACAAGTGGTGGAAAATACGCCAGTCCCATTTGCACTGGAAGAGAGCAGCAAATCGGGCGTTTCTCGATGGCTAGAGAATCAAAAAGGAACTTACTCGTACGTGTACTGCAGTCCAACGACTGGTGAGTAGTGTTCGGAGCACAGCTGCAACTGATCTACTTCTGCTGAGCTCCCTCCACACGTCTGCAGCAGCAAACCTGGAGTGTTGCATTGGCTAACTTCGTCTTATAGCTGCGTATGTTTAGCACATCACTTACAGCCTAGGAAAGCAAATGGAACGTAGGAGAGAACAACCATGCCTTCAGCTCCCGCTTTCCCTTCTTCCACCGAGCAGCTCGGCTGATGATATCGGATTACTGGAAGGGGCGTAGCTCGTACTTTTAGCAGCCAGCGCGCTTATACAATGTTAATCAAATTCGGGCGCGCTTAATGATGACGAGAGAGAATGTGATTGGCTGCTATGGGAGAGATAGTCTATGCAGGAACAAAGTCTCTTAGGAGAGTTAGTCTCTTGACCTCCGTCCTGTTGATCTGCTGTCGGATATCCTGGAGTATTGGGGTGGGGTAAAATGGAGTATGAGAGAATGGGGTAGGTAAGGGCGTTACGGTATGGGTGAATGGGGTACAGTGGAACCCCTCAACAAACCCCTGAACTAACAAGGACACTGTTTTTCCCCCCAAGAACAGTTCTTGCATAAAGCAACCTCACAAACATCTTCTGTCTCATCAGTCTCCGGATTAGGCATTCCGAAATTCCGTGGAATGGGAGAATGCAGTAATGAGAATAGGGTATGGACTAACAGCAATGTCAGTGGTCTCGGCTCTCTCAATCTTCCACGACAGATTCTCAATTTCAAACTCCAACTGGGCCTGCTGGTACTCAAACTGCAGAGAGAGCGACGAGAAAAAGACGGAAGTTTCTATACACTCACAAATTGATGACACCCACCAGCGGTTTCCTGTCCCCCTCCATGTGGTAGGCATAAGGGTAGGTGAACTTGAGTGTGTATCGAGACTGTAACGAAAAGGAGAGACTTGTCGTCTTTCAAACCTCTAACACTGGGCACTGGTGTATACCTTCCTCAGGAGGTCTGCAGCGTCCAGGAGGTACTGCCAGTCTATCCAGGTCCCTGAGCTGGCCGCCACTCTGTCATCGATCCGAGACAGGATCTTCTGACGAGTCGTCTCCTCCAGTTTCAGAGACTGGTCGTGGTTGGCCCACTGCGGAGAGCATCAGTGTACCACTTTCCTTAAAATCAGTGTCATACACTCTGATGACAAAACGCCATCTTTTTACAAACCGATTACTTGGCTGATACTAGACACTGCCAATTTTTGATTCTTAAAAGTCAAGCTTATATTGGCTCTTTCTTTAAGCTGTTGGCTCAGCTACAGAGGTATCTTACTCTCTGGTAGTAGAAGAGGTACTTCTCCAGAGCCTGTCTGGCCTCGTTCTGCCCTCTCTCATCTGTCTTCTTGTACGTACTGCACTCGTAGTAGCCTCTGTGACTGTCCCATTTCTCCAGACACACCCAGCAGAAATCTGGACCACAGTGTGTGCGTGCGTGTGTGAGAGAGAGACAATTGTTGGCGTATAATTGCGGGGGCAGACTCAATCAGGATCTGAAAAGGCAACTCACCATGATTGCATCTGGCACAGTGCTACAAGGAGACAAGAGACAGATGAAGAAGGGAAGGAGGTAGGGAGGTGGAAGGAAAGAGAGGAAATTCAACAGTAAACATAATTAATGTGCAGAGTCTCACCATGTGATTGCAGCCACCATTCTTTTCAATGGAGGCTAGGCAGCTGGGACACTATACAGAGAGAGAACAGAGGCTGTGATATTCTATCTTTGTCGCGAGGAATGACTCACGTCCTTGGTGTTGGCGAGGATGTAGTTGGCTGTCTCGGAGTCGTCCTGACACTTCAGTAGCCACCTTCGGTAGCACTCACAGTCAGCTGGCAGGTGGTAGGCCTCTCCACACTGAAAGCTGCAGCACACACACCATTACAGTGAAGGGACTAGGCCCTCTCTAGTAGTTGTCTTAGGATTTCCCCCTATGCCTATCTCGCTGCCCCTATTCCTATCTCTCCCAAACTTGCTGCGAGAGAGAGAGAGAGAGAGCAACGCACCAGCAGGTAAAGGTACAGTTGGAACACGCGACTCGCTTCGGGAGTCTCTCTCTGACTTTGAACACAATTGAACAGTTTGGACCTGGACACCAGCGAAGCAGTTTGTGGGACTGTGGGAGGGAGGAAGATAGGGAGTGGGTACATTAAAACCTCCGAGGAAGGTGCTCTTTATTTAGAGGTTTACCTGTACGAACTCTGCGAGAGCCAATGAATGGTATTTGGTGAGGGTAGGTTCTGCAGAGAGCAGCGCTCTCACCATCTCCAGACTCACATGCAGACTGCACTGCATGCACTGAATGGCTGGGCAGGAGAGAGAAATACTACAGTGTAGATAGACCAACAATAATGTTAATACAACAAAAACTAAAACATGATACCTCACAAGATATTTGCATACTGTGTGTGTGAAATCCCCACCACTGCTGATCATGGCACAGCGGGTGTCTCACCAGTGATGGAGCCAGCTGCAATCCTCTCCTTGAGGTACTGCTTCCAACAGACGTAGCAGAACGCATGTCCACACTCCAAACTGAGACTCTGGGAGAACGGGCTCAGACACACCGGGCACGCTACACGCTGGACATGAGGGGAGAGAGAGATCAAACATTGTCCTCATGCAAATTCAGAGTCGAGAAACTAACAACTGTAAAAGTGTGGACTTTCTCTAAATCTTGCCTGGTGTCTATAAGTTCACATTACCGTACAGTCCACTTCAGCTGGTTAATTTTTAGTAAGAATATTCACCTATTCATTCTCACGCATGCTGTCCCCCAGACACATTGGCTCCACTATACAAAAGTATTGTAACGGCAGATTCACACCTTCTCGGCAGGGAGGTCAGAGGGGGCAGGTCTGAGGTGAGCCTCCACCAGCAGCTGATGTCTGCCGCTGCACAGCCTCTTCCTCGCCTCCCCCGAGTCCCAGTGGAGATGGTGGAGGATACCTCTCACTATCGGCTGGTCCTCCTGGGAGGCAGAGAGAGAGCTTCAGCGCACTTGATCACACACAGTCTGATCGTTAGGTACACGGCAAAGATAAGCAAGATCAGAGCAAAAAACTCAGCTACACTCAGGAAAACACTTTGTTTCAAAAAAGAAGTAAAGGAGCCTTGGTTTATCTGTGATAATATTTTGGCCTGATTTTTCTCACGCTCTGCACAGTTGTGTTGTTTGATCGACTTGTCTTGATTTGACGTTGTAACATGTGATGGCAGAGTTGGGGTGAAGGGAAGAGCCTACCTTTATCTCTCGTGACATGTCCTTGACCTGCATGTCTAGAAAGTTCCATGCCTCCTCCTCTGAGAGACAGGTGAAGCTGTAGTGCTCCGGGTCGTCTTGAAACGAGGCGTCGGTCGCCCCGTCCTCTTCTCCTCCTCCCGCTCCCAGAATGTCTTCGTCGTTCCCGTAGTAGTCGGCATAGTAGTCTAGAGAGAGCGGGGACACAAGTTGTCGACGTAGTTATCACGTAAACAAACACACCCTCCTCCTCTTCCTCCTGGGAGCTGAGGTCCGGGTCTTCTCCGGCCAGGGAGTCAGCACACGAGAGAGACGACTGCTGACGATCGCACATTCTCTCCAACAACCTTTTTCTCGTCTCGTTCTCCACAGAACTCGTGCCAAAATCGACGGTCGGTCCGAGAAGAAGCTCGGCTTTTTAGTTGAGGTCGCGACCCGGCTATTTTTAGAACGTTTCTAAAAATAGACCACGACGTTACACACATTTCGTTAAATTGGAGAAAACAGCTGGCGGGAAAGAAAAAAAAATCAACCGGTGAAGAAGTGCTTTTTCTCCCTAAATTCTGCAAAGTGTAATGAGCGCAGACCACGAATTCAAGGTGCACCATTTGGTGGGGGAGCTGGTGTCGCTGTTCCGTGTCCAGGACACGTCTGGTGTGGAGTCTCTGGTGGAGCTGTTGCTAAGACACCGCTCGCCTTACGTCACCACTCAGGTTAGATATTGAGGATTGTAGTCTGCTGTGGCTGTTGTATTGTTGACTGGTGTGGTGTCCAGGTGAGTGCAGCTTCAGCCAAGAGAAAAATCACAAACTTCTCTTCCAAGGGAGCAGAGTTTCGCAAAAAGTATGATGAACTCCACCAGCGACAGGTCAGATTTTCAGAGGAAGAACTCTCAGGGTCCTTCTCTCCAAATTTATGTGGGCGCGGCATTTCTTTTGCTGCACAGGCAATATCTAGCAACATTTTTCTGCTGTGATTCTCGTTTTGCTCGTTTTCTCCCTCAATAGCCTCCTGCTATCTCTCTACACTGACTAGTGTTTCAAGCCACTCTGTGTTTGCAGGTGAGAGAGCTGAACCCTCTGGTCTACCTCATCTCCCTCATCACCGAGGACGAGCAGCTGTGTGGCTATCTCGGGGAGGTATGTCCCGCCAGTCAGTTGGGCCACGTCGTTCGACAGGCCGACATCTCGGTACTGGACGACCTCGAGGGAGGACTGCGAGACCTGCCGACAAAGGGAGCGGTGATGTCAGCCGAGGAACTGGGGGAGCTCATGGGGCGGCTGGAGACTGTCACCACTGCTCTCAAGAACAGGGAGAGAGAGAAAATGAGAATGACAGTCGAAGGGAATTTCCCTGAGCTGCCGTCGTGGCTGTTTGAGAGGTCTTACCTCACTGCTGACTTTCATCGTGAAGGCTCCTCCTCCTCTTCATCTCCCTCGACTGTCTCCCTCGGTACGCTGCCTCTGGACCTCCAGCAGCTGTCTGCAGTGGAGGACCTCCTCTACCTTATGGTGGGTGTGGAGGGACGGTTCATCAAGACCGAGTCCCCTGCTAACGAGTCTGCCCCGAGGAAATTCACCATTGATAAGACGCTCGATCCCTCCCTCCGAAACCTAGTGGAGCGAGTCCTCCCGATCTGCAGCAGCTACTCTGCCGTAGTGAGGTTCATAGAGGAGAAGTCAACCTTCTACGAGGGTCGGGTCAACCAGGCGTTGTCCGCAGCCATGCGGGGTCTGGTGAAGGAATACTGCGTCGTGGTCGCCCAGCTAGAACACCAGCTGCGACTTGGACAGCTCTCTCTGCAGAAGCTCTGGTACTACGTCCAGCCCTGCTCTGCGTCGCTCTCCGTTTTGGAGCGTATCGTGGGCACCGTTACACGCGGGTCTTGTCGCGGAGGGAAGACGCTCACAGCGCTCCACTCTATCACCACTGGCTACATCGGAGAGCCGAGAACGCAGGAGTTGTGTCTGCACCTCACGCGAGCTGCCTGCCACCCGTATTTCTCCAGTCTCAGTCAGTGGATCCACCAGGGACTAGTTCACGACCCCTACTCGGAGTTCATGGTGAGGGAACACGAAGACATTCGCAAAGACAGGCTCCATGCCGAGTACAACGACTCCTACTGGGAGCGTCGGTACACCGTCCTACAAGACAACATCCCCAGTTTCCTGGAGAGCGTTGCCGACAAAATCCTCTGCTCGGGCAAGTATCTGAACGTGGTGAGGGAGTGTGGGAAGGAGTCTGGCACCGCGTCGCTCCAGATCATGCAGTACTCGGTCCAGGAGAGGGGATATATTGAGCAGATCGAGGCTGCTTACTCCCAGGCCAGTCGAAGACTCCTAGACCTTATTCTGGTAGAGAAGGACCTGCCGGGCTACCTGAGGTCAATCAAGCACTACTTTCTCCTGGACCAGGGCGATCTGTTTGTTCATTTCATGGACTCTGCCGGAGACGAGCTGGCAAGGCCCATGGCTGACATCTTGCCTACCAGGTGAGCCTGCATCTGTCGAGAGCTTCCATATACTACTACAGGTTTTTCCACAGTTCAAGCCACTACTGACAGACATTTTGCCAATTTCTTCCTCTGCAGACTGGAGTCTCTGCTGGAGCTTGCCCTCCACACGAGTCCTCGCGAACTCTGACCCCTACAAGGACAACCTGAAGGCGTGTCTGGTGCCCTTTGACCTCATCACGCAGCTCCTCCACATCACTGCAATACAGCCGGAGGGAGTCGGGGCCGGTGCCACACCCCCTCCCCCCATCGCACGTCCAGAGTCCATGCCGACCCTGTCTGGACTGGAGTCGTTCTCCCTGGAGTACAGCGTGGAGTGGCCCCTGTCGTTAGTGATCTCCTACCGCAGTCTGTACAAGTATCAGCTGCTGTTTCGACATCTCTTCTATTGCAAGCATGTGGAGAGACAGCTGTGCGGGGCCTGGAGGACCCAGAGAGCCAGATCTGGTCCTCCCTCCCAGCCAAACACTTGGTGAGCTTTTTTCAAATCTTTTCCCCTCTATCGCTCTGAATTTTCGCCTTTTCCAGCCTGTGCTGTTTTGTTTACAGTTGTTTGTCTTACCCAAATAAAGAAACATGGCTTACATATAAGTACGTAGGTTAATAAGCTAAAACATACATGTTTCAGAAGGGAATGTGTACTAATCCAGTCTTGTGTTCTCTGTCTCACTAGGTACATCCCGGCCTTTGCCTTGCTGCAGCGAATGCTCAACTTTGTACAGAGTCTCCAGTACTACATGACTATGGAGGTCTTGGAGCCCAACTGGAGCGCCTTTGAGAAGAAGCTGGCGAAGGTTTCGACCATCGATGACGTCCTGCAGGCTCACACTGACTTCCTGGACTCCAGCCTCAGAGACTGTCTCCTGAGTGATCGCAGCATCCTCAAGACTGTCAGCAGACTCATGGAGCTGTGTCTGCACTTCTCCGGACACATGCAGGAACAGGTGAGCAGAGACAAGTGAGAGAACCCCTCTCATTGGATTTATACAGTACTCTGCTTAGGGAGTAGTAGTGTGTTTGAGTCCCACCCAAACCAGAAGATTTTCTTTTTAGTGTTTTCCTGAGTGTCGTTGAGTTTGCACATGTGTTTACCTAGACAGTTGTTCCCTTAGCAACTGACAGACACCACACCATTATCTTTCCTGTGGTCTGAATGTGTAGTGAGCTATAGAGTAATGTTTGCTGTCTGCTGCAGGTAGAGGGAGGTGAGGAGGATGACTCCCTATCTCTGTCACGAGAGGAACTGGGGGACTCCGGCAGGAGAATGGCAAGAGTCATTTCAGTCGACCTTGACTCTCTCCTCTCCCCCGAGAACTTCTGCCAGAGCATCGTCCGCATAGAGGCCCAGTTCACGGGGGACCTGCTGGCCCTCCAGGACACTCTGCTGGAGCTCCACGTGGACTCCCTCTCTCACATGGTGTCAAGACTCGACTACAACTCCTTCTACCACAACCTCAGACTAATGAACTAGTGGTTCGTCTGCTCTTCACTGCCCGTTCCATACACATGTGTACCATAAAGACTTTTTGTAACTTGTGCGTCATATATGTACATACATCAGTGATGATGATGATGTAACCTCTTTTGAAAATAAATACACACGCAGGTGTTTCCCTTAGCTTGCTCCGAACTTTCCTCCTAGTTTGGTGTCCCATTGATGATGGGTGATGTTAAAAAAAATAAATACATACACACACACGTGAGAGGGAGAGAAGAGATTATAGTCTGATAAAATGGTTCACAGCAAAATGCAGCAGTCACACTCTCGCTCGCTGGATTGCATCGACGATGTATCCGAGCGCAAAAGAGGTGTGGTTTCTCTGATTGCTGTACCGGTGCTATGGTTACGAGATGCCCCTCTCACGCTATTTTCTGGCAGTGGTCTCTTTTCTGGACATGGAGGGATTGTGTCGGAGTCTGCCGGGATCAGCTTGGGCTGTCCAATCCAGTTCCTGGCCTCTCCCTCTGCCCCCCTCGTCACGGAGTCCTCCATATCCTGAGGCGGACTGGGGTTATTGCGCAAGGTCACCTCTTCATCCGTCTCCTCAGTGCCCGGTGGAGGGAGAGAGGTGTAGGGGTGTGGTCTGTCGGCCTCAGCTACCAGGAGGGTGTTGTCTCCGTCCAGACTGGGTGCCTGGTGGACCAACAAACCTCTCAGGAAATTATCTCTCATTAGAGCGGGGCTACCTCTAACGATGAGAGGTATTCAGGTTGCGGTGTCTGCCAGCCCTCTACGTCCGTGTGGACCCAGGGACTGGACCTCTCCGAGTCGATGGGGTTGGCCGTGTGGAAACTGCCCACGGAGTCCGAGGACGAGGACCGAGCTGCGGATCCAAGAATCGGCATTTGTTCACAGCTGCAAGCAGCGCACATAAGGTCTTACTCGTCTGGTTATCTGGAGTGTGGTAACCGCTGGCGCTAGCAGCAGGCGTCAAACCTGGTTCTGACATCCCCCAGTATATAGTATATGCAATACCTCTCTTTACTCGTGATTTCCCCACCCCCTTTCTTCTGCGCATGCGCAGTTTGTTGGGCGCGCGGGCCCGCGCCCCGGGACGGCGTAACTACGCAACAAAATTCGAGTCTTTTTGCAGTTTGTTTGGAAAAGACGCAACAATGAAACCGTTGGTAGCATTGTTGCTGTTTCTGTTCATCATTTCTGCTGCAAGATGCCAAGAGTCGGTGAAAAACGGTAACTGAAAACATTGCGTTGCAAAATTGTTGCAGTTCAGGCCACTGCAGGCACACTCTCCGCGGAACTAAATCCGCAAGATTCTGCCAGTGTCTCTAAAAGGGCTGCAGACTATGTTTACGGTGAAGGTAATGCTATACCCAATGCATAGTGAGTGCTATTTTCACTGAAAATGCAGATTATGCGGACGAAAATGAGGATACAGTGGACGGAAATGAACTGGTGTATAACGACGAGGAGAAGGAGGGAGAGGGAAAAGTTTACAGCAAGTCTGCACCACAGGACTATGATGACCACGAAGGTTAGCCTTTCCTGCTTCAAGGAGCTCACCTGGTCAGCATTATAGTGTCAAATAGATGATGGAGACTATGATGATCAAAATGAGGAAGATTATGATAATGATGATGATACTGGCTTTGGTGACGATGAGGAAGATGGCGTTGGAGAAAGGGTCGACAGTATATTCAAACGCAGCTCCCACTACGATGACATTGATGACACTGAGGATGATTATGATGACGATGACGATGCAGACGAAGATGATGATGAAGAAATGGAGAGAGGACTGATTGACAGCATCGAGGACGATGAAAGTAATAAAGGTACAAGAGAGATGAGAGAAACAGAGCATTTCATTGTGGTTTTTCTCCCTCCATCTTCAGGTGATGATGACCAGCCAGCCGATGAAGAGGATGATGGAGATAATGATGGTACAAGAGAGATGAGAGAAACCGAGCATTTCATTGTGGTTTTTCTCCCTCCATCTGCAGATGATGACCAGCCAGACGATGAAGAGAATGTTGACTATGAGGAGGATGGCGAAAAAGAAGAAGAAGGGGCCATGTACAGAAGACATATCAATGATCAAAATAGTATGTGTATATGTTTTTTACCCTATGACATGTCATTTCTATGGGTTTTCAGATTACGATGATGACTATGAGAATGTTGAAGAGGAGGACAAATTGGAAGAAGAGGAGAGGATGCTGGACAGTAGATCCCAGGCAGAAGATGGTATACATATTGACAGGGTTTTACCACAGGGTGAATTACATAGCTCTCTACATCTCAGATTATGATGAAGACGATTACAAAAATGTTGATAACTATGAAGACTATGAAGACTATGATGATGAAGCTGAAGATAATGTTGATGATGAAGATGATGATGAAGATGGTGAAGATGATAATGATGATGATGAAGATGACGATGAAGTGGATTATGAAGATGAAGTGAATAATGAAGATGATAATGAAGAGGATGAGGATTATGATAATGCCGAAGAAGAGTTTGGTAGGGTAAGTCATTGTGTATAAAGCTATATACGTGACAGCTGCCCGTGACTCTTTTCAGTTCCAAAAGAGACATTCACTCTCGATTCGAAAACCTGTCGTATTGAGGAGGAAAATAACATTCAAGCTTCTGGAACAACATGATAGATTGAAGAAAACAATAGCTAGTGTAAGTGCGAAGAAGGTCTAGTCCTTGGAGGCATAGATTAGCTACCTGTCTCCCCCACACAGCTGGACAGAAGGATTAGTGAAATTCGCTCCAAGGAGTACTACAACACTCTCCAGTGCTGGCTGGAGAAGGCCGACAAGATGGAGAGAACAAGGAACCGTCATGTGAATATGCTGAAGGAGCTACACGTACGACCACCGCAGAAAAAAAGTTACTCTTTCAAGGTTAATTTACTTTGTGTTGTAGTAACGAGATGGTAATTGATTAACTTCCCCTTCCGCAGTCTCCTCGGGACATGTCTTGGTATGAGCTCATATATGAGATCCATGATGTGAGTCATTATTATTGTGTAACTCATTAAAATGCTCCACTCTGAAACCAATTCAGTTGAAGAAGAGAATCGCGGGCATCCGAGGCTCCCCTTACTACCACCGGCACTCTTACCGCTGTCAAAAGGAGCTGGCAGAGAGCATGACGCGCTACGTCAAGAAACTGGAGACCGAGCTGTCGACCAAACAGGGCTTCAATCGACCAAGGAGAGAATCGGGAGACAATGGCAGGGTCGGACCTGACATGTCGTGGCAAGAAAGACAGGAGAAAGATGCCCACGCAGAGCCTGTTAGTGGAGTCACTGTATACAACTGCAAAGCACCTCTTAAAACGGACACTGAATAAAGGGGCACCTCTTTACAAATGCAAATTGTCGTGGTCCCAGGGTGTCCCTTATCCACTGCATTACTATACTACACATGATAGGAGGAAGAGAGCAGAGACAAGAGAGACTGTGATGAATCAGACACTCCCTCCATATCTCAACTAGCAGCACAGGTATAACAGCTAGTACTGTAGTATATTAGTATTATAGCCCTGACACCCACACGCTGCAGACTGTTCACATTGAGAGGGAGATACAGAGGAAGATTGCCAACAAGTTGGAGGAGAGGATTAATCAGGGAGTGTCAGAGAACTCAGAGGAGGGGGTACTCCAGACTACTCTAGACACTGCCATTGATGAAGACATTGGTGACAAAGTCCAGAAGAAGCTGAAACTACAGGTGTGTGTATTTGTCCTCAGAGACTCACCTGGGTGCTAGCTGTGCAACAAGAAGTAGTTGGAGCTTACCTTTGCTTAAGTAGCTACTTTGAGCCCTGCCTGCCTGCACAGTTCAGGGGGTAGAGGACTCTGTTGAGTGACCACCTCCTGAATGTACAAGTTCTTGGTGTAGTTGACATCCACTTGCGTTGTGTTGCCACTCTGCGGTTCCTGGGTCTGTGTGTCTGTCTGCTGCAGATTGGAAGCCTCCCAAATAAAGTGAGGCAGCTGGAGAGGAACTACCAGAAGTTGAAACAGGAGCTGGAGAACAGTCCGTGGAGCAGGTTCCAGCGGGTGATGATGGACCACCTCAAGGAGAACGGTGATCTGGGGAACTCTCTCAGTCAGGAAGAACTTGAGAAACTGGAAGAGATGCACAACATGGCGGAACCTGACAGAAAGGTCTGATGTCACTGTTCCAGTCGTGAAGTGTACATGTGTCTGTTTGCTACTACAGGCATTCATGACTGCTCTGAGGAAGAAGATTAAACTGAGTAGCGAAGAAGATGAAGAAGATGATGATGATAAGAAGAAGGTCGTAAAAGTGGAGGCTTCAAAGAGAAAGCTCAAGGCAAAGCCTCGTAAGAAGGGGAAGAAGAAGGCACAGTCCAAGTCGGTTGCCCGCAGGAGGAAAGGGGAAAAGAAAGTGGCCAAAGGCAAGCCAAAGAATAAAAAGTCAAGAAAAGGGAAGGCCAATCGCAAACAGAGAAAGTATGGACTGAAAAAGAAGCAAGGGGAAGACAAGAGTGTCAAGATCTCCGACAAGAAGGTCAAGGAGCAATTGTTGAAAGTGCTAAAGAAGGCTGAAGTTCTACCAAGCAATGGACAAAAGAAGCCGCAAAAGCCAACCAAAGTACAGAAAAAGGTCGCAAACTGAGAAAGAAGGGAAAGAAGGGCAAGAAGGGAAGAAGGCAAGAAGGGAAAGAAGGGAAAGAAGGGAAAGAAGGGAAAGAAAGGAAAGAAGGGAAAGAAGGGAAAGAAGGGGAAGAAGGAAGAAGGAAGAAGGGAAGAAGGGAAAGAAGTCGAAAAAGCGACCAAAAAAGCCACGGAAGAATAAACTTTGGAAGGTGGAAAAGAAGATAAATAGTGGAAAGGAGAGGAAGAGGGAGAAGAGGGACTTGGAAGGGTCACGGGGAGAATGGGAGGTCTCTACTACTGGCGTTTCACACAACAACGACCCTCTCCATGAGCAGAAGAGTAAGTGTTCCTTTATCACTCTACTGTTGTAGCACGTATGTTTTTTAACTACAGATGGTGGTCGCTCTATGAGCATCAAGTACCAGCTTCCTCCCAAGGTTTATAGCTATACAGGCTCCCAACCATATACTGTGACTCTGTGTCTCTACACCTGGTCTCTCATATTGCAGGCTAAGAGTGTTGGAGTGTGGAGGTCGGCTGTGGTGAAAGAAACTCTGCGTGATATTCCCCCTCTGGAGTGGACTGGAGATTACTACCAGCACAGCAGCCAGCCTGGCCTCAGGAACAGGAGATCCAGTGAGGAGATCCACCGTAAACTTGTTGCAAGTTTGTATTTCTAGTTGTTGGTGGCCTAGTGATTGTTGTGAATGCCAAGAGTAGAGTCCTCTTCAACTTGAACCATAATTCCTTTCTTGTTTACGCTCATGCACAGCTGCTTCAGATGATGATAGCGACTCAGTAACAGACGGGATTGGAGATGAAACCCTCAAGAAAACTGGTACGCAAGCAGGAAACATAGAAAATGACATCATCATTACCTAATGTCCCACAGAAGGGTGTGATAAATGTGAGACTAAGGTCAGGGAGGAAGTGTGTGGCTCCAATGGGAAGACATACAACTCTCTCTGCCACGCCCTCCAATGCGGGAAACTGAGGCAAATGGACGTGACCTTTGGCCCCTGCCAGAACAGAGATCCCTGCAGCCACAACCACTGCTCCACTAATGATATCTGCGCTGCCATGACCTACGGACCTTGCATCACTGTCTACACCAATGGTGGCAGGAGACTCCCCTGTAGACAGTACATCTGCGGTGAATAGTTTGGGATGATGTCACCATGATGTAATTGTCTTTGTTATTGATCCTACAGTTGCTAAAGAGGACTGTGGACACACCGAGTACTCCGAAGTGTGTGGAGTAGATGGGAATACATACCCCACTCTTTGTCACCTCCAGCAACGTGGGGTAAAGCTGGCTTACTCCGGGCACTGTCGCGAAGCCCTATGCAGTGGACCAGTGTGCGGTAGAAATGGAGTTACCTACCCCTCCTCCTGCCACGCCCGTGCTCACAATGTCAGAGTGGACTACAGAGCAACCTGTTTCGCTGAGAAGTAAGTCTCTTTGATCTCTCTGTCTGTGTTGGTAGCTGTCTAAAAAAACCTAGTATATACTTTTGCTTGCTTGAGAGCTTTTCAATGTTGCTGGCGTACCAGGATACACCAAAAATTTGATGGTGGGATATTAATTTTGCATGGTGTGTGTGTCTTGTTCCCAGTGATGAGAAGGACGGTGTGAACAGTTGCAATGATGTCAGACAGACAGGGATGTGTGGTGTGACCGAGTGTCCTGATGCCGTCATCCCCGAGGGAGCCTGCTGCCCCGTCTGTGGTGAGTAAACCCCTGCTTATTACTACACACACTCCAACAACACCATGACATTGCTTTCGTGAATGTGGCCTCATTTTCGTCTTGCCTGTGAGACCTTAACGTTTTCAAAGGTGTTTACATACAGCCACACATTGGGACTCTGTATTTCAGCTAGAATTCTCTGTGTATAGGAGGTGGAGTGGAGGTGAGACCAGAGGCAGGTCAGCTGGCAGAGCTTGCACGAGACTGGCCCGAAATCAACCACCTCTACATGGTGGAGAATTTCCTGCGTCGACTGGTGCCCCGTGAGATGCAGGGCCAGTGTGAGCTCAGTCTCACTCTCACTGACTCTGGAGCCATCATGATGGTCCTCGAGGCAGTGGACACTCGCCAATCCGCAGTCTGCCAGGCTGCTGCCATGGACGTCACGGAGAAGATAAACAGACCTTCTCCGAGTGACGACAGTCTTCGCCCGCTGGCGAGAGAGGCCCGCATCCTGGGAGATATTGTGCAGGACAGTGTGAGAGCACAGTCTGACATTATCAGCAGTGACGTCACTCAGGCTAAAGCCAGCTCCACCAACAAGATGATTAACTCCTATAACGACAGGGTCAAGGGTATTGAGAGCACTGCAAATGAATACGAGGGAGAGAGCAGTGGATGTGCAGAGGTCTCAGCCACACTCGCTACCCTGACTGCGGCTTCTCTTGCAATACTGCTAGTCATATGAACACTGTACACTGAACATCATTATCATTATCATTATCTCTGGTGTACATGAAGAAACACGATAAAGGATATTGCATCAAACATGGGTCACTGTCTGAGGCTTCACTCTATTAACAAGATGCACTCAGGTTTTGCGCATGCACCATCTGCAACCTCACGGCTGTTGACTCTTGTGTATGTAGCTACACAAGAGTTTCCCTGATACTGTGTTTACAGAAGACATCAGCAACAGTTCAAAGGATCGGCCAGACGTGTGGCTATTTGTGTTTGTGTGTCGCTAACTCAGAGCCAAGCGCTACTCTTGGGAAACAGCCATGCCACAATGACACTCCCAGAGACTCATCACTTGAGAACCGCTCGCCTTGCAGCCATAGCATATTGACAGAAAAACACATCACACAGCACTGTACACATTACTATACACAGAGAATTATAGCAAGAGACACACACACACACACAAAAAGATAAGGACTACTAAATTGGTGTGACGAGGTACAGCGGTATAAACAAAATTAACTATTTCCACTTCGCCGGCCTGGTGATCTTGGCAAACAGCAGGAAGCACATACAAAAAAGAGGCTCTAAACGACGGTACTATAATACAAGGAGAAAGTGGATGTGTAGAGTGATTGATGGTTGGTAACAGCTGGCAAAACAGCACACACACACACAGGAGAAAATGGTAGTTTACTTTAGCACTACAACTGTTCATCTCTTGGCTGAGGGGAGAGAGAAAAACATAGAGAAAGGAGGGTTTGAAATACAGCGTAATCTCCGAAAAAGGACACTTGGGTTTTGTCTAATACTAATACATAATACATGGCAATATTATTATCCTCCGAATAAGGGACACTCTGAATAATGAGGCAATATTACAGGGGCGACTCACCAGCAGGGGCCCTAGACCGGAGGGTTGATGGAGACGGTGTAGGGAGAGAGATGGCGTGAGTGAGGGGAGGATGATTGGGGGGGAGGAGGAGAGTAAGGCTCGTGTTTCACCAACACCTCCTGTGGACTGCTACCATCCTCAGTATCCCTGGGTCACGATGAGGAGCAGATTGAAATCCATGAACATGTGATAAAATTTGTTTCTTTTACTAAACCAAGATCAAAATGAGACAACTTCAGTGAAATCCTCCTACTGGACTATCCTGAGCAAATGCTGAAAGAAGCTATGAATTGCATGTGCATAACACTGGAAACCTAATTCCACTAAAAGACGTGTTAGTGTCGATGCACGTGAACTCACGTTTCGTCCTCATCTTCCTCCTCCTCCTCCTCTTCGCCTAGACCTGCTGGCTCCATTCCATCCCTCACATCCAGCGTCACCTCACTGTCCTGCCGCTCGCGAGGAGGGGAATACCCCGGCAACCCATTGTGTTGCGACATACCCCCCACCACCTCCCCTCCCTCCCCGCCCGGCATCACCGTCTCCATGGTGACCAGTCCACCGGTGTTCTGGATGCCGTCAAGGGCAGGGTAGGTGTCGGGTGCCATGAGACTGGTGGGCACAGCAATCACTTCCGGAAGTTTGTGGGCGGAGTTAGAGGATGACACGGCTGCGGTTGATTCTTCTTCGCCGATGGCCATTTCCACAGGAGAGCTGGTTGCGCTCTCTGTAGATGGAGGCTCTCCTGTCTCCGCATTCACTCTGCGAGGGGGAGAGAGAGAAGTTTATTGTAGGAAACACTCCCAATAAAATCACTCTTGAGGGAGAATAAAAGGAGAGAGAGGGAGGGAGGGAGGGGTGCACTAAGGGTGTGTGTGAAATAGAGATGAAATGGCGGGATGGTAGTCGAGCGACATTCTGAGATGACAGCTCAGCCATAACAAAATTCTTCTGTCTAGCTCTAAACTCGTGTACATGATACAAGTGGTGTGTTTCTGACTGTGGCAGTGTGTGTGTGTGTGTGTGTGTGTGAGGGAGAGACTGGGGGGGATGGGGGGGGAGAACGCAGGACCAGAAGGCGATCATATTCCATCCTAACACTCTACGGAATTCTCCCTATGTACACTGAGCTATGAATACCATCAGGGAAGAGCGTGCGCTGGGGACACACATAACTAGATCTGTCACAACACAAAATGTGTTGTTGATGCGGGAGAGGCGACGAAATATTTCACTCACAGTTTCATGTGTCTCTTTCTCTTGTAGAGCGTGTCGTCTACCGTCCAGACGGCCCCACGGCTCTTGTTGAGTTCAACCCTCACGAAACACTTGTGAAGAGACAAGTTGTGCCTGATTGCATTCTGAGGGTGAGACAACACAGCATTACATCATATCAACACATCATTACATCACCACAACACGGTGATAGTTTGTTGCGTAACAGCAAAAGTCTCATGCACCTTTGTTGTATGGGTGTGAGAGTCTACAAGTTGTGTATTGCACGCAACATGCCCATACCATATAGAAGGTATGTCTATTGCATACTGTGGGAGATTTTGTCTGTGCACCAAAGTTGGACTGTGTATATTAACATACAGTAGATCTTTAGGTTAATCCACTCGGGCAGCTGCCAACCAAATAGGACAAAGATTAAGACCCACTTTGTGTGCTATTGCCTGCACGTGCATACAGAGATAAGGTGTGGTTGCCATGCCAACCTTCCATGTGGGGTTATTGTCTCTGAAGTAGACGAAATTCTTCATGAACCAGGCGTATATCTCGCAGAGAGTCAGACACTGGTCTGGAGACTCCAGAATGGCCTGCGGATAGATCAGGAATAGAGATTGGAATACTGGACACACACTAGTGGACGGGTGCTACAGCGGAACTACTCTAATCCACACACCAATTTGACAGAGAAAGTGTCCTTATTTCAGGAGTTGTAGTAGCAAGAACTGTTCTTGGGGGAACAAAGGTGTCCTCATTAAAGAGGTGTCCTCAGAGAAGGGTTCCTGTCTATTAATGTTAATTGGGTAACACAGTGGGTGTGGTCACTGAGAGGCGAGGTGGGCGTGGTCGTGGGAACAAGGGTTGGTTTGGGAGGGGCAAAGGCCTATTGAAGAGATACAAAACAGCTGCTAATACCATTGTGCCAGTTGGCAGATTGCGCCCACCACACCTGCCAGGGACCAGATCAATGGTAATCAAATCATCATTCAGACCAGATTCATGTGACCGGCACATGATCTCCCCGACCGTGAATGTTTATTGTGTGCGGGATCACATGACGCGAGCCTGGAATCATGTGACAGCTGGCGGTGGCTGCTACCTCAAAGAGTGGAATCCACAACACAACCTGTCTCATAACACGGCTCACTGCTCTTCCGCGTTCCCTCTCTCCCCCACCTCACCTCCATCACTCTCTCTTTCTCTCCCCCACCTCACCTCCATCTCTCTCTCTTTTTCTATGTACCTTCCTATAATATATGTAGCCGATGCCTTCCCATTCTCCACAATTATACAGTATAGAGAACCTCTGAAAAAATACCCTCAGAATAAAGAGTGCATCTCTATGTAAAGGACACTTGGATATGCCCACATTACATTATTACATCAAAATATGGGACTCCTCTCAACAAAGGACACTTTCGATGTTCCTATGGTGTCCCTTACAGGTTTCGCCATGTATATTTTCCTTCAACTGTATGTATGTATGTATGTTAAATGTATATGTGCTATAGTACCTGTCTGATGAGAGAGGCGTAGGTAAATGGAGGTCTTTGGTCAATGTTGGAATATCGCGGCATCGCCTTCCTCAGTGCCTCTTGGCTCTCTGTATATACATGAGAGAGAGAAGGTGGGGAGGAGGGAAGAGGGAGATGTTGATTTGTTGTTCAGTATATACATGAGAGAGAGAAGGTGGGGAGGAGGGAAGAGGGAGATGTTGATTTGTTGTTCAGTATATACATGAGAGAGAGAAGGTGGGGAGGAGGGAAGAGGGAGATGTTGATTTGTTGTTCAGTATATACATGAGAGAGAGAAGGTGGGGAGGAGGGAAGAGGGAGATGTTGATTTGTTGTTCAGTATATACACAAAAACAGAGAGCTTTCAGCGTCACCCAAGGCTATTGTGAGGCAGTGACATGCCAGGCACAGCAGAGAGTGAGGGAGGGGGGTCGTCAATGGAACAGAGGTGGAGCCGCTCACTAATACACACTCACTACCAACAGCACCAGGATGTTCGCACACACCGATGATAATATTATCCCAGTGAAAATTGTCAGAACATTAGTACTTAAGATCTGTATCCACAAAAAATTAAGTTGATGTGTTTTGCAGTGGCCCAACCTCTCCTTGGCACCCACCAGCAGCAGTATGTTAGATAGAGAACCCACCATCATATGCAACAGGAGAAGGTCTCTCACGAGCTGCCTGCCTGGTGTGACTGCGGACCGGTCCCGGCCCCTCCCCCAGTGACAGGGACTGGAACGAACCTCCGTTGACATGGGGTATGGGAATGAGACGAGTGGAACACGGCTGAATGAGGGAGTCCAACTTTGGAGGAGTGTATGTGTTGGCCAGAACACTCTTTGGCCCCCCTGGTGATGCCACATGCACTGAGACAGAGGGGGAGAGAATGAGAGATGATAGGATTGTAACTTCAACAGCTCGTTGCTCCCAGGAATGTCGGGAATTTCATTCAAAGAAGAGCAATTTCCCTCCCCCTCTAATTATCATCTCCCCAAACTCACTTGGTGGGGGAGTGTGGAGTGTGAGGGGTGACCTTCCACCCTGATCAATCTTGAGAGAGGTTGGTGCAGCTGCCATGGAAGTGACGGCAACGCTCTGCCCGCCACCACCTGCTGCCTGGATCGGGATGAGTGTCGGTTGGTTCATATGTTGAACTATGTAGAGAGGCTGTCCGTTCTGGTCCGTGTACACTGCCTGGACTAGCGGAACTCCAGGACCACCAGCTGCTTGCTTTATCTGCCCCAGAGAGGTCAGAGAGGTCATCGTCGGGGGAGATGAGGTGGGCGTGGCTGCAAGCGAGGGAGCGTCATGCGACAAGGAGGTCAGGAGGTGTAGGTTGTGTGGCTGCAGAGATGTGTGATGATGTAATGAACAACAAGAATGAAGTAATATGTGGGGAGGCTTACGTCACTTATATTGAGGTGTCGTTTCATGGCTTCAAATCTTCCCCTCTCTGTCTGCAACTGTACATGAGGAAAAGAGAGGGAGGGGTTAATAATCACTGAACTAATTTCACACCACATTTTCCATCACTACTGATTGACCAGTAACACACACGTCCTGACGTGTATGCCCACAGAGACAGTTCAGAGACTGTTTCTCACCCCTGACTCCATTCTCTCTCTCTTTTCTTTCTCTCTCACTCTGTCAAAAGCCATGTGAACCACGTGTCGGTGCTATTTGCATACAACATGTAGTGGGGAAGTACAACATGGGCATGTAGGTAATGGACAACATGCTAAGTAGGGGGACAAAGACACCATAGACCGTGGAGAATGGCCCACATGTACATGTACAGTCAGAACCAGTGATCAAAGGCGAGACAAGACACATACCTGCTTGTCGAGCTGGTCCACAACCAAACTCTGCACTATGGTCTGAGCCTGCGTCTTGCTGCTCAGGTTGTGCTCCGTGGACAGGTGACTGGAGAGGGGGGAGAGGAGGGGCTACAGTCGGTTTTCTTTTCCTCATTTCACTATTGTTGTTGTTGTTGTTGTGGAAATACGGTAAACTGAAAATGATGGGTTGTTTGTGGTAAGACTTGACTGAATAAACATCCACTGTGTACTTGAGGCCAAATCAACAACACAACGTGTGTCTCTGCATACATCTCCTCTCTCCACTGTTTCTGACCTGATATAGCGATCCCTAGAGTTGACCTTTGAACCGCACCCTGGCCACTGGCACTTGCCGTCTTCGTACAGAATATTGATGTCTTCTATTGTGAGGGGGAGGAGGGAGGGAGGGAGGGAGAAAACAGGTTAAGCCTCACGGACAAACAGGTGGGGTGAGGAGTGGAGGCAGAGGTAAAGGCAGTTGTTTACACTGCCCAGCCCATATAGCTGGCCACAGAGTAGCGTTCCCACACCACAAACTGCCCAGTAAGGAAACCAAACAACAACAGTTTACGTCAACAACAACAAACATTCATTATGTGTAGCAACAACAGTGGCTATAGTGTTACAACCTTCCCAGGGACCTAACACCAGGCAGCTGTCAACAAGTCAACAGTACAGGGAGGCACGGTACAATGGAACCCCTCTCTTAGGACACCTCTGAAATGAAGACACCTCTCTAATAAGAACACCTATTCTCAGTTTTTGCATGCTAGTCAACCTCTGTGAAGGGACACCTCACTATCCCACTGGTCTCTGGATTAGAGGGGTTCCACTGCACTATGTGGGTTGGTGTGAAAACAACGACATTAGCTGGGGTACAAAGCTGTCAATTGAGGCTCTGGTAGCAAACTTTCCCTCCCTCTCTTCTGGCAGGAGAAGAAGGAGAGGGGGAGAGAGGAACCCTCTGTTGCCACACACTCAAGAGTGGGCTCAGATGGAGGACTAGACTTGGGCCTCTGAGCCCCACATCAATAGGTCCCCATAGCAGTCTCTGTTTACCCATCAACAAAACTGGGGAAGGTATTCACAGGCAGGCAATAAGCGGAGCTAGTGTTGTGGGAGGGAGGCTATTAGGACTGACTGGCAGGAACAGCTGGAGGGTAGCAGGCAAGTCATGAATCTCTGGCCTTCTCCCCTTGGCCACACAGCAAGTAAACAGCAAGTAAACAGCAAACACACACAACCATTGTTGTAGTGCATTAGTCACATGGAGGGGGAGTTCGATATTAATTATGTGGGGCACATCATCCATACAATAGCAACAGAAAAACACAATGAATAACAGAATATTTATATTTACCTGAGGTGGGTTGATGCAGTGTTGGTCTTACAGCAGGCTTTGAGAACCTGGAAAAGTACGAACAACTACATAACTACAGGAGAAATGCATAGAGAGAGGGAGACATGATAATACACATGCAGTTAGTGTCGCAGACAAGTGTTCGAGTTTAGAGGCAAAAGGCATCTACCAACTTTCGGGCCTAGCTCTGAATGCTAGTCAGAGTTGGTAGCACACACACACTGCTATTGAGGCTGTCAATGACCGAGGAAGAATAGAAACCAGTGTCGATGTACACGCTGTGACAAGGATTAATACTGTGTTCACTGTTGATAACTGGTGTTAATGGACACACACACACACGCCAGTACATGTTACAAAGTCCGCCATCTTTTTTGGCTGGTGTCAGAAAATCGACTTGGCTAACCAATGACGATAATGGATGGTACGTTGCAACACATATCGCCAGTCACGCGAGACTGTCCAACTGACCACACTCAGCAGAGCGTACTTTGCACGGGACAGAAAACCTCGATGGTTTGCGACATCACCAACAAGTTATTCTACCTGTTATTTCCCATTTCACCCAGTGTTAGGTTGTGCATGGGTAATCAGTGTGTGCATATTCCTCTCTCTCTTTCTAGCTCTCTCTCTCTCTCTCTCTTTCTTCCCTCACACCACTTGCACACAGGACGCTCAGGAATGCAACTGAGGTGCCTTTCATGTCAGTTATCTCCCCACCATCACTAGCTAAAGGCCAGTCTTGATAATTGGGAACACACAACAAACAGTCCTGCCCTGTGTTCTGGAGTGGGGAGCCTCTTCCAACAATGACCACCTGACTTCACCACACACTCCCTTACCACCATGCCTACAAGAGGTATATATATATATACCCACAACTACAGGGTGAGCTCCTGTCTTTGACTTAGGCTGCTAGCACTCCAAACCTGACATTAGCTAGCTCCTGGGATTATGACTACGCTGTAGTCTAGAATGTCTGTGTTAGTGGGAGCGTGGACTATTTTGCAGTAGCTGTGCCTAAGCCTCCACCGATTAACATGTGTACTGGTCTTGTCCGAGACAACACTCTCAGGAAAACAACAGTCGGAGTGTGTGCTGCATTAGCCACAGCAATGGGCCCATGACACGGTGCAATCGTAAACACAAACAGTCACACATCTACTACAAACATAAAAAAACATCAAAAACCACAAACAACAACAACAAACAACAACAGGCGGTGGAGTCATGCGGTGCACTCTAGGCACAGGGTAGTTGTTACACAAGAATGCTTCACACAACAGCTGTGGAAACACATCACAAGCTAGCCACCCATCTGCTCTAACCACACACTACAAATCCAAGCTCTCTTTCTCCCTCTCCTCTCCCCTCCCCTTCCCCGCTGCACAACTTACGAGTGTGCTGCTTGAAGCTGCAGTGAAGCCTCGTTGCCATGACCACCAGCATACCCAATAGGAGCCAGTTGAACGATGGAAGCTCCGCCTAAATCTCCGAGCTGAGCCATCGACACGGCGATTGGTGTCCCCTGGATCACCTGAGCCGCTCCCGGCATCCCCTGTGCTGCAATCAGCGGCAGGGAACCTCCACCAGTGGCTGAGGGGTTAACGGTGATATAGCTGGGCTGGAGAACGTTGCCCGTGGACGAAGACACACCCCCTGCTGCAATGGACGGTAGACACAGGCTCTTGATTGCCTTGGTGGTGGGTGTGACCACAGGCGAGACGGAGCCGCTGTGCTTCTGGATCATGGCAGTGACATGCATTTCGTGCATTGCAGAGCTCCAGGCCTGGTGGGCCATCGAGGACGGCTGGGCAGCCGGCCCTGCTGTGGCATCCGCCATCACACCTTCACTTACACTTCAGATGAAAATTCTGAGAGGGAAAGAGATAAAATATCCACTTGTGACAAATGGGCATGAATATTAGCGCTCTGACACAGTTGAGGAGCTTCAGCAACTCCGCGGGCATCGCGTGGACGTCCGCTTCTCGCAGGGACCAGCGCTATCGTGCAAACGTCGCGCCTCGCCGCGGCTCTCCCGACATCGACAAGGTACTAGGTACGTGGGTCCACAGCTGTGCACGTTGCGCGGGCGAGGGTAAGGTGGGAGAAGGTCCCCCCGGCCCCGGAGCAGCTAGCTGGTGCAGCTACAGCTGTTGCACTGTACGCACATCACGAGCGGCATGTACACGAACCACCGCATCACTGTCCCCTCGACATTATCCCCCGACGACCTCCACATACACACGCACACGTCTCATAATCAGTTATCTATTCACCAGATCTCCACTAGCAGCTGAGCCGATGTCTTGGGTCGTTGGGTCCCTGCTGCACACCCCAGACAATCGCCAGTAGGTGACAAGAGAAGCGTATCCAACAACACACAACACGCAGCAATGGAAATTGGCATTTGTAGCATTTTTATAGCGGCCGCAAATTGCTTGTGCCGGTCAACACGCGAGCAGCGCACCGTTCTCTCGATCGGGCGCGGGGGGCGCAGCTCGAGAGAGAGCTAGAGCTAGGGGGCCGGGGCCGGGGGGGGCTGGCGCACAATGAGTATGTAAACACCAAAATTTTTGTGTATCGTTTGTGTACATTTCCGCTTATGCCGACGATTTTAAAGATCGCGCATGCGCAAACTTCAAGCAGAATTGTTACCACACCATAATTGTACCATTACGTGCACAGAAAAAAATAGAGTCCATTTGCTGGTGGCTAGTTAGAGAGCTCCAGCTTTCTTGAGGAGTGGGACCAGTGTGCCTTTCTCATGAACTTCGCGTGTCTCCGTACCCCTCCAATACACTGCTGACCCACAAACACTCGGGGCACCGAGCGTGCGCCAGTTATCTTAAGGAGGTAGTCCTGGATAGCATCCCCATCACCTGGAAAACAGAGGGAGAGGGAACATTCACCTCTTAGAGTATTTTTATCCCTTAGAGTGTCAATAAAAGGTCTGCACAATTGTCTACATGAAGTATATAGCATTGTCCAAGGACCACAAGTTCGATTTTATGGCAGCTCAAGTAATTAGAGCAGATCAAGCTCATCCAGTAGTTGCTGAGCAGTTGTTGTGTTATATAGGTATATACCTCTTTCATCCAGCTCATGAACGGTGTACTTTGCCCCCACCTCATTCAGAACAGCTTTGGCCATTTTACAGAATGGGCAGTAGCTCTTCGAGAAAACCACCGCCGGCTTCTTTATCTCCTCATCAACAAACGCTTGGGCCATCTTTTCCGCAGCTACAGTAAATAGAGCACCACAACACGTGCAAATCTTTCGATAGAGCGGGCTCAGAAAAAACGCGGTGCAGTTGCAAACTGGTAGATACCAGGGTCTGTCTTGGACGAGCCTCCGCCCATTCTTCGGCACTTACTGAGACTGAGGGAGCGGTTCTGGAGGGAAGAGAAAGTCTGGGTGAGCGCCCGCCTCAACACTGTCACCATTCAGAGGAATGTGCACCGTTAGACACCGGCCGGATGTCAGCTGAGGTGACTCCGCCCATTTTTGTTGTTATCGACCACGCCCCACTGAACAAAATGGCGTCCAGTGAGAGGGAAGGGGCGGCCGGAGCGGGGCAGGAAGAGGAGGAAGAGGAGAGGTCTGCGGCTCCTGAAGATGGCGACGGCTGTGAGGATCTCCAGCCGCATCCCTCCTCGCTTCTGTCCAGGAGAACGTTAGACGAGCTGGGGCAACTGCAAGACGCGGACCCGGACAACTACAAGCTCCACTCCTCATGGGCCTTCTGGTTCGAGAGGTAAGAACTCCCTACTCTCCAGTAAATGGAGCCTAGATAGCTATAGGTACCATCTCTGCGACTGTACCCCGTCCCTCAGGTCGCCAAAGGGTGGCAGTGCCAGTGACTTCTTTGCCAACCTGCGGCAGATCTATGTGGTGAAGACGATCAAGGCCTTCTGGTGTGTGTTTAACAACCTGAGCCCCGTGGACCAGCTGAGGGAGAGGGAGAGCTACCATCTCATGAGGGATACTGAGAGAAGACCTGTCTGGTAAGTATACCCACCCTCACCAAGTGCTCCAACACGAGCAAATCTGCGTAATATAAGGAAAACATGACATTGTTAAATCACACAATAAATTTAATGCTGTTGAGCTTTGAAATGCAACTACTGATAATTTTAGAAGACTTTATATTGTCCTTACATTGGGAATCTCAGATTTCAACCGGTTCAGCATCGCTTTGCTATTTATTAGACAGAGTAAATTGCCATGCCTATCATTTAGCGGTACCATGCATTTCTAGTGTGCCGAGGGTTTGCACTTTAGTGCTTTTCATTATTTCCCTGGAGGGAGGACGAGCTGAATGCCCATGGTGGCATGTGGTCCTTCCGAGTCAAGAAGGAGGACACTGTGAGTGTTTACCTCGTTGCCACGGCGACCCCGTATCCATGGTAACAGTAGGTGTCTTTGGTCACAGGCTGCAGTGTGGCAGGAGGTACTCTTGGCAGCTATTGGAGAACAGTTCCTACACAACATGGACACAGGTATTGGGTAATGCACTGGCGAGCACAAATAGCCATTTCTCTGATGCACAAAAACCAGACAACTGTAGAGGAATTATGTCAAACTGACTCTCCCACACACACACCATTTATGCTTACATTCTCAGGAGATGATGTTTGTGGAGTGAGTGTTCGTATCCGAGGGTTCGACCACAACGTCATTCAGATATGGAACATGGACTCTGAACAGCATTCTAAATCCTCAGTCAGTCTCTACCCTGTCTCTCTCTTTGTCTGTCTCAACTGTGTTTCCGTCACTCATCAGGTCATCCAGAGAGTAAAAGAACTCATTCCTAGCATTGAGATCAACGAGTTTTACCAGTGTATGTGCCCTCTCCTCCCCTCGCTCTCTATCCTACTCTCCTTTCCTGCTGTAATTACCTGAAACTGCATCTGAGTTTAATGTGCAGTACAATGTCTCCATTCAGTGGTACAGGTTGTGATTTATCTAAGAATGAATTTTCACACTGACGACATAAACCTACACTTATTTCTGAAATGTCGCACAAAAACTTCTGTTTGTTTTTTCAGCCAATAGGTCAAAGGTGGAAGACTCGCTGCGGAAGCCGGCCTACAGTCACCGCCCACCTCCTGGACATGGTTCCCACCGTTTCCCCCCTCCTCTTCACTTCCCCCCTGGCCCCCCTCGTTTCCAATCGTTCCCCCGCTACAGACACCCACTCCCACCAAACCTCCACGCACACAGATTCCCTCATTACAACCCTTACCCTTCACCGCCTTGATAGTGTTGATTACATCATAATGACGTCATTTGTACTTCCAGCTGGGGTCAGAATTTGCGCATGCGCATTACATAATCATGTGAAGGAGCACTTAGAAATTCCCCTAGACCTGGCGTGAGGCGGACACTCGACAGTAGTAGACGATATTCGCCGTGTGAGGAGGACAAGGACGCTCTGTCTGTTGTATCAACGGAGATTTTATAGCAGGTAACCCGTTCATACCTTGTCATCGCCGGGAAATTGTGTTTCGCGTGTGTCCCGCGGAATGTTGTGTGCATATTATGTCTGTGTGTGTGTGCACGGCGGACGTGTTGTGTTGACGAGGCGTAGTTAAGGTTAGTCCGTCTCTTCCCTGCCTGACTACAGCCTCCGTGTTGCTTTCGTACGTGTGACATGTGCGTACGTCTTTCCCCGTAGGACGGTGTGCACTAAATAGAAGAGAATATATGGTCGGAATGAGCGGGAAGGCCAGCGAGCCACGCCGTGGCCAGTCGTCCCAGCAGAAGAAAGCAGCTGCTGGGTCTCTGGGGTCTGGAGGAGGCTCCAACAAGACACAGCCACCACCGGAAGCGCTCCACGTGGCCAATATCCTTGGAGACAGTATCTACCCTGACGACCTGCCTCACAAGATGGCACAGGTGATGGCGATGCTTCCCTCTTGTCAGGAGGAGGAGGTGTGTATCGCTCTACACGACCATGACTTTGACCCGGAGAAGGCCATCTCGGCTCTACTTGACAGTGATCCCCACAGTAGAGGACAGGTAACTCCCTCCATCAGTTTTTACTTATTATTTTTCCTATCTCGCCTCTCGAATGAAGAACTTTGCAAAGTGTAAAAGTGGGGAGCAACCTCGTTTTGCTTATGCCTCAACAGAGCGTAGCTAACCCCTGCCCTAATATACCCATTACACCATTATACAAATACCAGTCAACTATGTATGTATGTTGTATTTTCCAGGGCGAGTGGACAACAAAGAAAGGTCGGAGAAGCAAAGGAGGTGACGGAGGATCAGATTTCATCATCGCCCCTGGAGACAGTAGGTCGTCCGGGAGACAGGGAGGGGGCGGGGTGAGAGGGACAAACAGAGCTGGTGAGTAATGTTCTCTGGAATGGTAGGTGTTTAAAGTTGGTTCTTTCTTTCTCTCTCAGCTTCTCAGAATGTGCGAGAGAACTATGGTGGGAGTGTGAGTGTTGGTGGAGAGGGAGGGAAGGGAAGAGGGGGAGGTGGGGAAAGAGGAAGAGGTTCTAAAGGAAGAGGTGCCAGTGGGCGTGGCCGCAGTACCAGCAACAAGAGAGAAAAGGAGGAGAGAGAGGGGAAGAAGGAAGAGAGGCCAAGGGGAGAAAGGGGGGAGAAGGGGGAGAGAGGAGGGAAGTTGAGAAACAGAGGACCACGTGGAGCTAGAGCGAGAGCCAGAGCAGCTGCTGCTGAGACAGGTGAGAGAGAAGAGAATGGAGAAGAGGGAGTTACAGTGTTGTTTGGCTCTAGGGAGGGCAGGCGAAGAGAGGGGCAGAGAGGAGAAGTCACACCCCCTGCCAGTTGCAGCAGAGGCTTGGGATGATGAGATGGATCCTCAGCCGTCTACTGAGTGGGAGGACCACCGTAAGGTAACACACAACTTCTGTACTTTGTGATAATGAAACTGTCATGTGTGTGCTTGTTGACTACAATGGCACTGCACATGTTTCTGTTAGGTCTTATGTACCTGTGTGCCCCTCTCTAATTAACTAAACATTACTGCAGTAAACCAGAAAGGAAACGTTAATCCCCCCAGACTGCCGGATCTCCAGCCCAGCCCTCCCCGCTGGAGCCGTCCTCAGCTGTGGCAGATCAGACATGGGACAGTGAGGCAGAGAGCAAAGGATCACAGACCCTCTTTCCCGAGGCCTTCACCGACCCCGCGACCTCCGAGATCCCCGGACTCCCTATTCCCGGGCTGCCCACCGCCTCCTCCGCTCAGCCCACTGCACTTGCCGCCACCTCGCTGGGGTCTCTACCCCACCCGACGACTCCGGGGTCTTTACCCCACCAAACGACTCCGGGGTACTTACCCCGCCAGATGACTCCAGGGTCTTTACCCCACCAGACAACTGCAGGGTTTTTACCCCAAAGACCTACTCCATCCCTGTCGAGGTAATGTGTTGTTGTTTCCTAACAATCACAGAGAGACCAAGATGTTGTTTTTGTTGACTCAGCAGTCGACTAACAGCTCCAGTTGAGTTCCAGACTGTGGCGTCCTCGGTCCATTCCTCGCGTCTCCATTCCAGACACAAGAGACTGGCTCGTTCCCAGATCCCAAGTCAGCCTGTCGAGATGCCCAAAGGAACATATCCTGAGGTATGTTCAGTACATGTAGATGCATTTTTGTATGCATGATGTTATAAAAGATCATGCTACAAAACTTTTGATTAGTTCTTCATAATTAAGACTGTTTTGAAATTTTCTGGTCAGCATTTTTCATTGTTCTTAGCTCGTATCATATTACAGTAGGGAACCTTTTGTAATCTCTGTTATTGTGACTCTCTCTGCCTCCCACCAGATGAGTGAATTGGGAATTGCATTTGGCAGACTAGAGCTGCAGCCTCAGCCCACCACCACCACCTCTCTCTCCAGAGAACCAACTTCCGGCCCTCCCTCCTCCTCATCTTCCTCACAACCACAGGTAACACTCACAAAATAATTGCATGAAAGTAGAGGACCACATAACAATGTTGATTGTATCTCACAGGATGGCTTGTTGGCCACACCCACCTCAAACGAGATGAGATTTCAGAGTGATGCAGTCACCACGGCAACACTGGCCTATTCTACACAGTCAGTCCCACGTCTCTAATTTTTTTTGTTGTCATGACAACCTATTGCAGGTTCACAGAGGGCTCGGGGGTCATCTCCATAGCAACGACAACAAACAGCTATGGGGGTGGGTTGAAGAAGCTGGAGGCTCCACCTGGTCTGCCACACCCACTAACAAATCCCCACACCCCAACTGTTGTGTCTTCCCTGGCCCCAAGTGGCTCCTTACCACACTCAGTGGTCCCTAGTGGTCACTCTGTGGTTCCCAGTGGTAGTCTACCGCACTCTGTGGTACCCAGTGGTTCTCTACCACACTCTGTGGTCCCTACTGGCTCCTTACCACACTCTGCAGTCAGCAGTGGCAGTCTGGTTGTCAGTGGCAGCAGTGGTAGTCTGCCCCACACAGCCACTCTGGCCCACATGGTGCCACTCACGACCACCGGAGACAGTGCCGTCTCCACCACTAGACCATTGCCATCCACCACATCTGGTGAGACCATTTCTACCGTTTTGTTTGCCATTAGTGGCAATATTTTGACCAGCTCTATGATATTGTGTAGTATACTTGGCTGAATCTATGCTACACCTTCTTTGACCTCACACTTTTTCTTACCACCTGTTGTCAGGGAGTAAGCCTGGAGGGAGTGTGGGAGCGATGCTACCACCGGAGACAATATCCCTCCCTCCTCCTCCTCCTCCTGCTTCTCTTCTGACACCCATCGAGTCTGCCTCAGACCACAGCAAAACAACCTTCACCACTGCCGCCTCCACCTCCCAGCTGCTGGTGAGGTCTTCATTCCTCTCTCATTCCTAGTTTGTTACTAGTAAAGTTTAAACTGTGCAGTGAATCCTGTAAAAAACAGGTCCCTATATACAAATATAGGACACCTATACAAAGACACACGATTGCTGCTCCATTATGAGCTGAGCTCTCTCCCTCCCTTCCCTTAGCCTCAGTCATTTGCAGCCACCAGCAGCTCTGGGACAACAGTGGGCGGAGCCTCAGAGCACCTCCTCTCACAGACCACACCCACTTCCTCGTCTGTGGCCACACCCATCTCCAAGACACTCACTGCTCAGTCCTCGCATCACCATGGCAACCAGCAGCAGCTCCAAACCGCGTTACAAGGTATGTAGTGCTCGTGCTAGGAGGGAGATTTCGTGAATCATGCAAAGCACACAGTTAATGGCTGCCTTGGATGTGACACAGCAAGTTTTGCAAGTTGAACAAAATGCCAACTTTATAGTCTAATAGCAACATTAATGTCCGCTCCCACTCTATGTTTCTCTTCATGGTTCAGATTTACTTTTTCTCACTTGCAGGAGGATCGAAACACAACTCTCTACAGCAGCAACAACAAGCCATGATCTACCCATACATGCTCCAGCCCCCTCTCGTCATGGTCAGTAATGATTATCAGTCACATGACTGTCATGTGACGCAAGTGTTTTCTCTGTTCTGCAGCCGATGTCTGCGTACTACGACCCAGAGATGAGCAGATACCAGGCTGCATCCGCCGTTTCCATGGTACCCTCATATTTGGAGTGGTGATGTAATGATTATGTAATCATACCGCTAGGCGTATTACCAGCACCCGACGTCATCGGACCCTGCCATGGTGACAGGGATGGGGAGAGACCATGTCGGGTCAGGGTTCACGGAGGGAACTGGGGGAGGGGCCGGGGGTGGGAAATTTGGAGGTCGTGCAGCTGAGATTTCCACCAGTGTCGCTCCACCTCACTCCCAGCAGCAAGGTGAGTAGGAAGGGGTTAACATTGGGTGTCATGTGATAGTCATGTGACCACAGGAGTCCAGCAGAGTCAGATGGGGCACGCTGCTGCAGTTTTTAACCCTTACTACGGAGGTAACGTCATCTACCCCATGTACCACGGATACGGCATGCCTGGATTCTCTCACTCGGTGGGTTCAGGGTTAACGTGTAAATCCTGTGGAGTCTAAGAGTTAATTCCCCAGATTCCCAAGCCATCTGGAGGGTTCTTCGTATCCGGGGGGTGGGGTCAACAGCTACCAGACTCCGTCGGGGGCTGGGTTTAGCTACGAAGATGTGGGGGCGGGGCAGGAATTTAAGATGTATGGAGGAATGGGTGGAGCCGGACTGGGGAAGCCACACCCCATGAGCAGCAGTGCGGCAGAGCTCCCCACTGGCTCGGGGTACAAGGGACACGCAGGGGTTTGACTCCAAGAGCAGTTACTCCACTTACAGCGTACCCCAGGGAGGGTATGGCTTCATCCCCACTGGAGTAAGTGTACAATGGTATAATTATTCTGACTATTGGGGACATTAAGTTTAAAGGGTCCTTCAATCCTCTTTTGTCTTGTCTTTCCAGCCGATGCCTCTACAGATGCCACCGAGCTATATGCAGGGGCATGAGGGAGGGGGCGGGGTAGGTGGGCGGGGCCAGAAACACTCCAACAAGCAGTACAGTGGTAGTCATGGCAACAGTCAGCTGTGGTCCCAGCAGCCCAGTCACTGACCACCTACTGGAATGACATCATCATTAGTCTGCTACAGCGTGTGTGACTTTATTGTCTTGTGAATGTCTGTATTATTATTTACTCGGAATATTATAGCAATGAAGAGCACTTTATGATCTGCCATGCATTATGTATTAAATGCATCACTACATAGATTGTTTGATAAAAAAAACTACATTTCTCCAGGAACAGTGATATTATGCTGATCGTAATACTGTACGTGTGAAAAATCAAACCGCTTGCTTCGCTTCATCAGAAATGCAGACAACAGTGATAAAAGGAGAGTGAAATGACTCGTGTTATTCTGATGGTCGGCTGAATGCCTCAAAAATGTTCCTGGAGAGTTTCTGCAGTTCTGGAGTTGCTAGCACTCTCTAGTCACAGGGAATTGAAGAAAGATTGAAGAGGGGGAGTTAGGGAGGGAGGCGCAAACCTGGGTAAGACTGTCGTGGTGGGAGGAAAATATGAAGTCAAACATGTCACTAATCAGGGGTATCACTCTGGCAACTGGCAGTGTTGTCTCACTAGCAGGGAGTAAGAGACAAGTTAGCAGAGACACACACAGTAGACGGAGCCTGTATATACCTCTGGGCAGCTGAGTGGTGAATGTCTGAGATCTGGCAGCACATGAGAGAGAAAGTCTGATTCACACATCTCTCCAGTACCATCGAGAATTCCGCACTGTATAATGATTGTATAGATCACCCCAGAGTGAGTAGACACATTACATTTTATAACATTCAGGTTCATAAAAGCAGCCCGGGCATGTTTTTATGCACCACATCTTGTAAACCTACACAGTTTGATCATACCTCTCAATAATGTCCCTGGCAGAGTATGCTGCACCTGATGTCTCTTCTGGTGACTAGAGAGAGGGAAGAGAACCACATGGAGACTTGCACGTGGGTATATACCTGAAATGACTGGTCCCTGGGAAGAAGAAACTGAACGAGGAATGAAGTCTGACAGACACCTTTAGAACTACAGAATTCACAGTTTAATGAATGAGTACACTCTGCCAGCTATGGTCCTCACCTGTTGGTGGGTCTATGAGAAGAGGAGAGAGAGTGTATGTCGCTCAGAAGTTGCCCCACCCCCTCAGCTGTCAGCTGGTGTTTCAGAGAGTAGCTCAGTAGAACTGTTTCTGCAGCCTTTCTAACTCGCCCCACCAGCGCCTCCAGTCCTGCAGTCACCATTACACAGACATGACTAGTGTACACCATACAGCAGGAAACTGGCATTAATGTCCACAAAATGCACACAAGACCTTCTCTCATGAGGTGCTGAGCTGATCTCAGGTACTGCTGCTGAGCAAGGGAGCCTTCATCACCTCCCTGTGAGAGGGGTGTGGTCTTAGTCATGTGATCATCACATGACATGCCTGGTCTCTATGTAAGAGGGAGAGTTCTCCTCCGAGAATGCTGAGTTGAATTCTCAAGAATGCGGAGAGTGCACAGCACAGGTACACACCAACAATCACACGGGCAAAACCTGCACAGACAGACTAACCTTAATGAGAGGGGTTAAAGGGGAGGAAGGGTAAAGAAAGACTCATTGCATGCAGACGACTTGGGGTTGGGAAAATAGAAAAATGACGGAAAAAACGGCAACGCCAGGGGTTGAACTTGGATCCTTTGGTTTGGAAGGCTCCACTACACGGGGTCACAACACCCATCTCAGGAAGGTAAAGGCTATTATATAGCTCTTATATGCAAGTGTGTAAAAGCAGGACTAATGAGGAGAATAGGGATGGAGAGAGCTCACAGACTATCTTCAGGTTCTCCCACAATGGCACTTTTCCAGCTGATCTGCAAACATACAATTTATACTGCTTTCTTCCAATCTCTTCATCAGGTCTCACTTGCTCCTCAGTTGCTCCGTGATGCTCTCTGCATCCAGCTGTGCCTGCACTGCTTCCTTCAGTCGCGGCAGAAGACACACAACTGCACAGACCAATTATAGTGGAATTAACTGACACACAAACCAATGGGACACAACAAAATATCCATATTAGTGGGGTATCCTTAATTACTGCATGCAAGAAACTGATCTTGAGGCAGAAAAGTGTTTATTTCGCTGGTGTCCTCAGATGTGTGACCTAACCTGCTGAGAGGCAAGTTTTGCAGTGATTCTCACAGTGTTTCTGGAGCCTGAAATCAGAAGAGAGAGACGCTGCGTGTAGGGTGGAGAGAAGAGACGACCGCTCACCTGGCTTCCTCTAGTTCAGAGCTCCGTCTTTTCTCCTGCAGCTCACTCGTCTTATTCAGCAGCCACCGTCCGCCAACATAGCTCCCTGCAACAGTAGAACCACATCTCAGAGCAAACGAGAGACAATGTCTTAACTGGGTACCTGCAACGGCTGCTCCAAGCACGAGAAACTTGCCCTTGTGCCTGTACACCCACGACAACATTTTTCTATTTAGAGCGCACTACAACGTTTTCTATTTAGAGCACACTCGGTTGCAGGTTCGTCTTTCGGCCTTTCAAGGCAGGTAGCGGCGACCATGAACATTCGTTGTGCAAGAGTGAGTCTCTCGTCTAGACAACGTGGCCTACGTCTTCCTCTCTCTCTCCCTCCGTGTCCAGCCGGAAGACCTGCTGAACATGCAGCACTGCAACCTGCTGTGTCTGCCGGAGAACTACCAGATGAAGTACTACTTCTACCACGCCCTCTCCTGGCCTCAGCTCTCGTACGTGGCCGAGGACGATGGAGGCAAGGTCGTTGGCTATGTCCTCGCCAAGATGTAAGGAACTCCTGTTGAGTTGGTTCCGACGTCCCACATTGAGTCTAGCACTCAGCTAAAGGTAATGTTGCAGCTACTCTGCCTCTCTATTCCTCAGGGAAGAGGATCCAGACGATGCACCTCACGGGCACATCACATCTCTAGTCAGTCATTCCCCTCTTCCCAACACCCTCCTCTTTACTGCTGTGTCTCTCACAGGCAGTTCGCAGGACCCACAGGAGACTGGGACTGGCACAGAAACTGATGGACCAGGTCCTCTACCATTAGGCCTTGTGACCTCTTACTGTGCTGTGTGTCTTCATGTGTTCAGGCATCGCGGGCAATGGTAGAATGTTTCGGTGCCAGATATGTTTCGCTTCATGTCAGAGTGAGGTATATATGTATTTGAGCAGAGGTGGTGTGTCTCATCTTTTCCTCCTCTTCCTCTCCAGCAACAGAGCCGCTCTTCATCTCTATGAAAAGACTCTCAAGTTCAAGTCAGTCATATATATACTCTATAGTGGAGGGAGAAAACTTGCAAACAATGGTCTTTTGTGTACATCAGTGGTGTAAAGCTGGTCCACAGAACATTTTGTGTTAGAGACATTTCAGTCATTAAACTTCATCTGGCTGAGTTTCTCTTAGAAATATTTCAAGCAAGTTGTCCACCACTATGTTGTACTGTCCTCTGCAGGAGGGAAGATGTGGAGTCCAAGTACTATGCGGATGGTGAAGATGCCTTTGCCATGAAGAGAGATCTGAGTGGACTGGCCGAGCAGTTGGAGAGGGAGGCAAAGGCTCGCAAACAGAAGATGGCTTCGCTGGTTACAGCTGAGACTATGAAAAGACCTTCCCTCGCTCACTAGTGACTGTTCTGATCACATTCAAGAAATGTTGACACTTTTGATCAACATCTGCACCTGTCAACACATTTTGATCAGAATCAACACAGCTGTTAAAACGTTTCTTAAACAATATGCACAAATGCAGACATTTCGTATATAAGAGCACGGACAAAAATGAATGATCACTGTGTGGTGTGTGTTAAGGAGAGTCCCTCGCTGAGGCAGACGAAGGCGTGGCCATCATTGCCTTCCGTCTGATATCAAACACCTGGACAATGACATCATCCCTATAAATAGGTGTTCTAATAATAGTAGCCACACCTCCTGGATTGCCTCTCTGAAGCAGTGGAAGTTGTACTCGATGAGACCTTGTCTCTCAAAGACGTCCTCTCGCAGGAGGCAGACGAGGGCTAGGAACCTGTTTACCTCCCTCAGGTAGAGAATGGTCCCGTTGTTCAGTCGAATGATGGACAACGAGTGCTGGTCATAAGCCGTGCCATCCACATCGTCCCGTAGTCTGTGGGACATCCTGTTTCACAATGGTTTGTCCAGATTAGCGATGGCTTACCCATAGATGCAAGAGACGTCGATGACTACATCAATCATATCGCAGCAGAGTTCATATGACTGCATGTCGACTGGGGAGCTGTCTGTGGCGATGTAAATCTTGCTAACTACGTCAAACAAGAAAGCCTTCTCGATCCCTGAGTTCTGGGGACAGACGGGCAGAGAGGGGAGTGAGTGAGAGAGAGGTAAGGTACACTTACTGAAATGAGGATGTTGAGAAGGTTTTCAAGTGTTGGTAGCTGAGGAATCAGCTTTTGCACCACGCGACTAAACGCCTGGAGAGACAGAGAGAAGGGGAGGGGAGAGAAAAGGGTGGCTGAAGTTGACAATGGAAACCAATTTGGAGCTAGACCTCGAAGATTGAGTGGTCGTAGATGGAGGTGAGGTAGAAAGACAAGTGGATTCCCTCCAACCCTGCATCTGACAGGTCCTCAGTCGCATGTTGGTGGATGTCCCTCTGAGCCTCTGGACACCATTTTAACTCTCTACCTCCCCACACACACACACACACACACTGTATACCTATTTTTCTGTCGTCTGTCAGTCCGTCAACTTTGTGGATGAAAACCTCGAATTTGATACTCTGGTTCACCTGATAGGCCCGTGTCACTGTCTGGTGGAGCCTCACCAGAGCATCTCGATAGTCATCCTACAGGACACATCACATCCCTGTCCTGAAACTGGGAGGAGACGGGACATACCTGAGCATCGATGACGAAAATGAGAGCTCCACAACCACCAAATATGTGGTCAGAGTCGAAGGCTGGGTCAAAGAAATCAATCTGACCTGGAAAGTCCCATATCTAGTCAGAGATGAGAAACTCCCAATTATAAAGAAAAGCACTGAAGTGCAAACCCTCTGCGCACTAACCTGAAACTGGACAAAGGAGCTGTTGCTAATGTCGTCTTTGACAACTTTGCTGGTGCTCTCCAGAAAGAGTGTTTCATTGGGAGACAGTTTGTGGAAAACCACCTTCGAGATGGAGGACTTGCCACTCCTGATTAGCATGGAACAGGGCATTAGAACCGAGAGAGATAGAGGAAAGGAGGGTAAGAGAGAGAAATGAGGCTCAGTGGCAGATTCAGCTGACCTGCGCAGTCCCATGAGGACAATGCGAGGCTTGCTCTCACTCCCGATGCTCCCCAGAGCCCCCTCCTCCTCCCCGGGACCATAGCTGGAGTACAACAACACGTACAGACTGATTCACACACACCATTGGAGAGCTTACTCGTAAGCGTCAGGGAAAGACTCTACGACGCTGTAGCTTCCATGTGGATGGTCACTCTCCGCTCCGTACGACGACTGCACGACACGCACACAAACAAAACGACTCACGCAGACAGACTTCGCAAACAACTCACCATTTCTATACTTCTTTCTTCCGTTTATTTAGAGAACAACGGGTTAAACTACTCACATGATCAGTTTGCACGCTGCACATGCGCGGTTTCCTTGACAGCCCCTCCTCCGTTTTTGCAAGAAAGAGACGCGCGCATCATCGATCAGGGAACGGATTTCATATTTTTCGTTTGGAATTGGCTGTCCTGTTCCTGTGTGGTTGCAATAGTCTTGAAATTTGTGTTCAAAAGGGAAAATGTAAAGAAATGGCATATTTTCAAGCGAGATGGGGAAAAATAAAACAGCCCCCCCTCTTTATCTGCAGATGGCAGGATTGCTCAGAGGCTCTCGGATGCTCACGACGGCATTAGTCGGAGGTGCTGCAGTTGCAGGCATTGGCTACTACGTCTCGAGCTCAGCTGAGGCTGGTGCATCTCCAGGTAAACGGCGGGGCATGCAGAGATGGGGTACACACAGTACTTAGCTGACTAGATGTATATACGTAGGTGGGAAAGTCCTTATAGAAGTGACATGGCCAGGAGGTCAGTGGCTCTTGTCAGCCACTTTCAACTGTTGATTCCCCTTGTCTCTCTGCCCAGGGGCCTACAAGTTGTTTCCCCCGAGTTCAGACTTCCCTGACTTGTCCAAACACAACAACGTGGTGGCCAGTCACCTCACTCAAGAGGTAGCTATGCAAAAGTGTTTGCAGTGCACCCATACCTCTACACTCTACTGCAACTGCATACACTTTGTAAAATGTGTGAAAATGGACTGTTATCTCAGTGTTGCTATTGCTGCAGCTCTACGCGAAACTGAGGGACAAAAAGACGCCAAAAGGGTGGACTCTCGACCAGTGTATCCAAACTGGAGTTGATAATCCGGGGCACCCCTTCATCAAGACAGTAGGAATGGTGGCAGGAGATGAGGAATCATATGATGTAGGTTACTGATATTATATTCGTCTCTTCAACTGCATTATCTGCTGTCCCCAGGTGTTTGCAGACCTGTTTGACCCAGTGATCGATGAGCGACACAGCGGGTACTCCAAAACAGCCACCCACCCCACTGATCTGGATGCCTCTAAACTCAGAGGAGGACTCCTTGATGAGAAATACGTCCACTCCTCTCGCGTGAGGACTGGTCGCAGCATTCGTGGCTACAGTCTTCCTCCAGCCTGCACTCGCGCCGAGCGAAGAGCTGTGGAGAATGTAAACTTTACTCACTGCAGCTAACTTTTCACTGTGTTGTTTTTTCAGATTGTGACAAAAGCTCTGTCTAAACTGAGTGGAGAGTATGCTGGCACATACTATCCTCTAGCAGGAATGACTGATGCTGAACAGGAGCAGCTCATCAATGTCAGCCCCTCCAATTATTATTAATCCAACAGCATGTGATTGACTGACTCCTCAGGACCACTTTCTGTTTGACAAACCAATGTCTCCATTGCTGTTGTCTTCAGGAATGGCTCGAGACTGGCCTGACGCCCGCGGGATCTGGCACAATCAGGACAAGAACTTCCTGGTCTGGGTCAACGAAGAGGACCACACTCGAGTCATCTCCATGCAGAAGGGGGGAAACATGCGAGAGGTCTTCACTCGATTCTGTGACGGACTCAAGATGGTGACTATCCTGCTGTCATTCCAGCCTCACAGTCTGCTTTTTTCTGTCTGTGTCTGTAGGTGGAGGGCCAGATGAAGAAAGATGGAGCAGAGTTCATGTGGAGTGCTCATCTTGGCTACATCCTCACCTGTCCCTCCAACCTGGGCACCGGGCTGAGAGCTGGAGTCCACATCACAATCCCTCACCTCAGCAAAGTAGGGTCCACTCCAAGCCACAGCTGCTGACTTGCTCACTCCCCAACCATCATACCCACCAGCACCCCAGGTTTGGAGAAGTTCTCAAGAAGCTGCGGCTGCAGAAGAGAGGAACCGGTGGAGTGGACACTGCAGCCAAGGGCTCCACCTATGACATCTCCAACATTGACAGACTCGGCAAATCAGAGGTTAGCCCCTTTAATTTGCTTTTGTTCACAGAGTGTACTATTTTGCAAAATGTTAGGTGGAGCTTGTGCAGACAGTGGTTGATGGGGTAAATCTCATCATTGAGATGGAGAAGGCTCTGGAAAAGGGGAAACCTATTGATCATCTTCTGCCCACTAGTCTAAAACTATATACCTCTCTGGACTCTATCATCTTACCTTCATTTCTCGTGCGCATGCGTAATTTTTGGTTGCAAACTGTGGGGGCGGGGCTGGTGGTTGGATACAAGCTCTATAATTATTATAGCTAGCTAGCTAAGGCAAGTAGCAGATCGCAAGGTCATGCCTCAGCAGCGGCGGTATAAGTCGGCTGCTCCAGGTAACGATCCTCTAAGAACGGAGCACTGCAGTCGGATTGCTCTCTTGCACAGGCGGGAGACGACGCTCGGCGATGGGGGAGTTCATCCCTGAGCCGGGAGAGAGACCTCTATCATCATACGGTTTGCTTCACAGCTTACCCTCCGTGTCTCTCTTACAATCTTCATGTGCAGGCCAACCCACGCCCTCAGGCTTTGACTACTACCCCAGTACCGCGGCTTCTCTCCCCGGCTCACCCTCTCACGCCCTCCACAGCAGACCATTCCCTCTCTCCCGTTAGTATCCAGCTAGTACAGCTGTAGATTCACCTTTCACCTTCCCATGCCACTGACAGAGGACGTAACGCCAGGTCCTCCTGACTACCAAACTCGGAAGAGCTCAGTTTGGAGACACAAGACATTCACTCTCAATAGAAAAGGGACTACGCGACCGTATGACACTAGAGGCAAGTTCAGAGATCTGCAGTAGTGGGCGACTGTAAACAGTTGTTCTCTCTACAGAGAATGCCCACATCACTTGCAGTCCTGGTGCGGGTCATTATCGTAGAGTCAGTGGGGATGTTGGCTCTGCCACAAGGAGGAGTATGAGTGCCCGCCACCGCGATGGGGTACACGTGGGGTACCCCAACTCTCTCATACAGCCGGTGGACACTCTGGGGTTCGCTACTCCAGGTCCAAACCTCTGGAGGGACTCAGAGCGAGGCGCGGAGAAGACATTTGGTCCTCACACACAGTGCAAGACAAGAAAGAAACCTCAGAAACTGTTTGTCGGTCATGGAAAAGAGAAGTGCTCAACAGCAAACCTGCTAGCCAGTGATCCTCCATTAGATGAACCTGGAAGTCCAGGCATGTGTATATATGTGATCCAATAGGGTGAGCATATTCTCACACCCACGACTGCAGGACCTGCAGCTTATGCCATACAACTGCCGACTCCCAAGTCACCTGGGAAATCCATCGGGCAGAAGCTCCACATAGACTTCGACCTGCACTACCCAGCTCCCAATGCCTACACCATACCAGATACAGTGGCTACAACACCAGGAAAGACGTTTGGTATCAAGAATGACATTGACACCGGTAACTGAGCCTTTCGATCTAATGAGACCAAAAAACAGAAACTCTTTGTTTTTGGTCACGGTAGAAAAAAATGCTCAACACCTCAGCACAGTGGTTTGGGATTTGCCTTTTGTCTTGTGTTGTAATGTGTTTTGAAGCCATTCCTGCTGAGTTGCGCAGCTGGTAGAGCACTCACTTACAGGTGTCTTGGGTTCGAATCGAACTTGGGGCAGCTCTTTTTTCCTCGGAATAAAAGAGTTGTCCTTGGTGTTGTTGGCCTGCCTTTGCACATGCAGCACCAACTCAGGCTGTTTATATTTTCAGATCAGCATTTCCCACCACCAAACACCTACTCCATTCCTCTGCCACAATCTGTGAGCCACTTCTTCAATTATCGCCCATTCCCCACATCAGGTGAGAATGTCAGCATTTGCCTAGCTGCCGGCAGGTCACATGATGTCATGTGATGTAGACGAGAGGAGACCAGGACCTGCAGAGTACAGCAAGACCCACTCAGATCTGCCCAGATCCCCAGACTACAGCTGTCGCAACAAGTGCAGACCAGTATTTCCTGACATTCTCCTCTACCCTGAGTATGGTACGACGTCTGCTATAATAAATCTAACATTTACATGATGGTGACAATACAGTGCCTGCCGAGACCCCCGGTGCTGGGGAATATGAATATGACAGAGAATTTGCGGATAACTCGGCTCCAAAATACTCCCATGGTCTTCCCCTACCAGCAAGACCCAGTGAGACTTCTTTTCCTCAGTTCTGTTGAACTAACTGAATCTGCTGCAGATTCCAATCCTGGGCCAAATCAGTACCGTGTCCAACATGACCCCACCCAGCACTCTCCTCCCTCCTTTACCATGGGCGCAAGATTCACTGACCACACCCCCCAATCTACCGGGCCAGGCCCTTCCAATTATCATCCTAAGCAACGTCCGTCGAGTGCAGTGTCCATCACCCCTCGCCGAAGCCGAGAGAAAAGTGAGTTGAATTATTACCCTCGGCGCGCATGCGCAGCGAGGGTTACAGTACGTGGGTCTGTCTGTGTGTGTGTGTGTGTGTGTCTGTCTGTTACTCTCAATCTCACTTCTCGGGTGTTTGTTCGTCTCACAAAGGATACGACCTACTTAAAGGGCAATGAAGGTCAGAAATTTCGAACGGTTTTCTCTGAAACTGCTCCGTTGCAAAGCTAGAGCGCGAAAAAGCCAATATGCAAATACGAAACGGACGGGATGGGATGGCTTACCACAGTCGGATCGACCCGCGTGCTCTGCGTACTTCGGAGGCACCAGAAGATGCAACGTCAGGGCGTGTATCGCTCTCGCATGCTATCTCAGTAGTTGTAGTTAGCCCGCATCAGACTCTGCGCGAGCTGGCAAGAGACCACGAGCAACAGCTAAAACTAAACCAGCCCATCAATTAGTGGTACAGCGCATGCGTTTACTTACGCGTGCGCGTCACAGTGCGCCGAGGCCGAGGGTTTGCACTTCAGTGCTATTTACAGTGTTCCCATTCAAGTAATGGCGGTGGTCTGATGGATAAGCAGCACTCTCTTGATCGTGAGGTCCCTGGTTCGACCGGGGTGTACGCCTTTTTTACAATGAGTAATAGGAGTGTTGGTAATATATGGAACGTTTTTCATACCTCTCCAGGCAGCCCGAGTGGCTAGGTGGTTAGAGTCGTGGGGACTGACACCATAGGTGCGCGGGGTTCGTATCCCGATCCGCACTGAAAGTGTCAGGTGGTCCAGAGCATTGGCTGGGAACAGCTCTGGTTCCTCCCCTACCCACAAAATCTACCACTGACCATGTTTCTCAAAGGGCAGGTGCGTACAGCACTGCGTCCGCGTAGACGTCTGTCTGGAGAGATGAAGGGCTGGCCGTTTTTTTTAATTTTTTTCCAACCTTGGGTTTGAATGCACTAAACAATCACGGGTAATACGATATTAATAGAGAGATAAAAGTTGCAATTTTTCAACCTTATATATTTTTGGGCCTCAAACAGATATAGCGGCTGGCCATTTTTTTCACCTATTGATAATAATCCATGGAAATGGTGCATAACATGCTGATGCATGGTGAAGACCATCAGTTGTGGTGGTGCCACACTTGTGTATGGGTCCACATTTTATATGTGTGCCGAGGGTTGCACTTTAGTGCTTTTCCTGGGTTTGTCTGTGTGTCTGTCTGTACTCTCAATCTCACTTCTCGAATGTCTGTCGTCTCACAAACTATACAACCTACTTAACGGCATGAAGGTCAGAAGTTTTCGAACAGTTTTCTCTGAAAATGCTCCGTTGCTAAGCTAGAGCGCTTCCAGCATTGTAAGGCAAATGCGGTAGTCGCCCATTTATATCTCTGGCGGTGTTAAAAGCGCATGCGCTTATATTTAGCACAGGCTTACCTCGACCGGGTTCGCTTGCTCTGAAGTCACAACGTAATGGCGTGTATCGACTATCGCGTGCTATCTACAACTGTAGCTAGCTAGCCCATGTCAGACTCTCTGCGAGCTACTTCGCCGAGGGTTTGCACTTAGTGCTTTTCATTTACGCTGTTCCCATTCAAGTAATGTGGTCTGATGGATAAGCACCCCCTCTCTTGATCGTGAGGTCCTGGTTCGATCCGGGTGTGTACGCCTTTTTTACAATGATGTAATAGTAGGAGTGTTGTATATATATGGAACGTTTTTTCATCACCTCTCAAGGCCAGCCCGAGTGGTAGGTTGTTAGAGTCGTGGGGGGGCTGACACCATAGTGACCGGGTTGAATCCTCGATCCCGCACTAAATGTTCAGATAGTAAGGCATTGGTGGGAACAGCTCTGGTCCTCCCCTTACCACAAATCTAGCACTGACCCATGTTTCTCAAAGGGCAGCGACAGTTCGGATTGCACTACGCCGTAGACGTGTCTGGGAGATGAGGGCTGGCCGTTTTTTTTTGTTTGTTTTTTTTTGCACTTAACAATCCACGGGTATACGATAATTAATAAGATATGAGGTTGGCATTTTTAGAACTTAATAGATTTTTTTCCTCAAACGAAATGGGGCTGGCCATTTTTTTTCATGGAATAACATGCTGTTCTATGGTCAAGACCATCAATGTGGTGGTGCCACACTGTGTTGGGTTCACATTTCTATATTAGTTGTGCCGAGGTTTGCACTTTAGTTGCTTTTATTACAGAAGTGTTTTTACTAATTTTCTCTTTTTGCTTTCTGCAGAGTCATGTGTGCCTGGGGCCAACCATTACCACGTGCCACCGTCTCTCACAAGACGAGGAATCTCTTCAGGGCACATGACCTCGCTCAAAGGTCGCAGGTCAATAGTGTGCTACTCTGGTTTTCCAAGCAGTCATCTTTCACGACTTGCCTCCCTGGCTCTGTAGCTGACCAAATGTTTTGTACCCCCATACACCGTATCTACTACTGGTTCACATTCTTTGAACTAGTGCTAGCATAGTGTTAGAGTAACAGTGAGCAGATGATCGAGACTCACGTGTGCAGTGCTTGAACATACGTAACATGAGTTGTGTACGTGTACCGATGTTTCATAATAATATTTTCTAAAGTACAGCATAAAAAGTGTAACACTCCTTTCAATGATTGGAATGATGACAAGGTCTGAACAAAAGTTTCATAGAGGGTGCCCTGCCCCCCGCACCACCTTGTGTGGTCAGCAAGTCTTGAGGCAGCGTAGAGTCCCGGAGTACTGGCAGGCACACAGCAGGCACAGGGCTGGATGAACCTCCACACTCCCCCTCTCTATCGTGTGCTGGGTTCCACGATGGATGCACACTCCTGCATAGAGAAACAGGGCGACTAAAGAATTGATGGCAGGTTTACTAACCTTCCCTTATTTCTTGGTCACGTTTGCCGTCCCCACTGTTGTCTTTGTCATCATCATGATCATCATCGTTATCATCATCTCCTGGTCCACGCACCCACTCATCTTCATCATCACTCTCCAATGCATCGTACCTCTCTGCATCTGCACAGGCAGGCAATCCAGTACGGACGTCAGTGCTAAATGAGCTCACTACTTGTGCCAGGCATTCCATAGCTCTCCTCCATACTCTCCAACATTTGCTGTGCCAGAGATCTTGACGTCACCTTGCTCCAGCCTGCGCAAACGATGCAGAACCCTTAGAAGCCGTATGAGTGCAGACCTGCAACTCACCGTCGCTCGTCTTGGAGAAGGAGACAGGTGAAGCCCATGCAGCGGCCATTAGTGTCAGGAGTAGTACTGCGATCTTCATCTCTTCCCACTTCTGTATGCAGATGATGATTGTCGGAGATCTTTCGGCGGCGTTCCGGTTTGCGCGGTCTGGGCGAGTGCGCAATCATTTATAGGCCGTAAGCGCTAACAAATAAGCGCATATTTAGCGCCCAGTCAGTCCAGGAAGACGGTGTGGTATGCGTAGAGTTGGGATGAAGCGTAGCAACTCAGACGACATTGGCTCCTGGGACCTGGTACGGCGAAGGAAGGCTTTTCGTACGTTTTAGAGTTTGTATCTTTCCCCATGTGGTCCAGCCCCCGCCCAAGAGAGCTCGAGTGGACCCCAATAACAAGACAGGTAGGCAGCCAGTTATGATGCTGGGTGGCAGCTCACCGTGTGGTATACAGGTTCTACTGTATTGTCAAGATTCACTAGCGGCTTTGGAGGGCTCTTCAGCACCGTAAAAAGATGGTTCAGCCGCTCACGTGTTTCTAATTCATGCCCACCTCCTATGAGTGGCTCCTCTTCTGACAAGCCCCTCGTCCTCTCCTCCCAGTCTTCCACCTTCTCCCCTCTCTCAACTGGCATCAACTCCTGTAAGACTCTGACTAGGAATGTATTACAATTTCACCTCCCTTCTTGTTTCAGGTTCCTCATCACCCCTCACCTCCTCACAACTCTCCTCGTCCTCCCCCTGCTCCTGTCAGAACACACCTCAGTTACGGCGACTCACCAACTTCACTCCCTGTCCCCCAGCAGTCTTCATGCTCATCAGAACTTTCAACAAAAACTCCTCCGAGACAGAAACCCAGGCAACACCCACAGACCACTTCCCTCACTCCTCTCTCTGCCCCACAGAGTAGATATAACAGTAGTAATGGATCTCGACTGTTGACTAAGACACAAGGAACCTCCAGCCATGAGGTATATATTACTGACATGGGTGTCCCTTGCAGTAGGTTACAAGAACTTTTATGGTGTCTTCGTCCAGTAATCTACCTAATAGAGTGCGTCGTCATATTCGAACGTTTGCCTGTTCACTACAGTGGACCAGACTGCCGAAGGAAAGATGGAGTCAGCTGTTCTCCTCACCTTCCACCTCATCTCAGGCCACACCCCCTGCCACCACTCACCGTTCTCCCTCCCTCATCCCCTCCCCTCTCTCTCCTCCTCTTCCCCCTCGTCACCTCACCTCCCCACCTGTCACTCAGCCTCCTGCAGCTCCTGAGAACATTGGACCAAAGTCAGTGTGTAGCGGAACATTTCGAGGGCGAAAATTTTTTAGTAGTAAAACTGATTTTGTAGAGAAAACGTTCGTTGATTGCTGGTTCCTCAATACATATGTTGTCGTTCAAATTGTTTCGCTGCCAGTTATTAGAAACCAAGGCTTCCCCCCTGGAATACAGTAGGTGCTACACTACTTCTCCTCCTTTCTCTCTAACAGGTTAAGAGGCTGGTTTATCTCACCAGGAGGACTATCTGGAGCCCCACCTCGTATTCCGTCCTGCCTCCCCGGACTGCCTGTCAGAGTGCAGAGCTCTGCATTCCTCTCTCTCCCCCACTCCCCCCCTCCCTCCCCACTACCCTCCAGGTCTGGGCAACCAATCATTTCGAAACTTATTCCTTCCACTCTCCACAGCGATGTGGTTCAACGTAGAAAGTGGGTGGAGTCACTCAAGGCTGACCACACCCACTCATTGAGTCAGCATCGAGCAGCGGTGAAGCTTGAATTGCGACATCTGGCCGTCTGCCGAGAGCAGAGGTTCAGAGCGGAGGACTCGAGAGTTAGACATTTGCAGGACAGTGTGCGGAACATGTCTCTTCTCTCAGACATTGGGCATGACGACGAGGAGGAGGATGAGGAGGACGAAGGGAGAGAAGAGGTGACGGTTTGATCTGTAAGAATGTTCAATTAACTTTGCACCTGATGGAAACCAAGCTGGTGTGTTTGGTTTGTTAGAATGATTATTTTGTACTGTACCACTTGTTTCTTGCAGCTTTGTTCGCATCTTCAAACTTACAGTGTTTGTGTTTTGTGTGTCTGCAGATGGCTGAGTTAACAGAGCAGCAACTGCAGCAGGTTTGGGTGCACGTTGTCATCTTATAAGACTTTCTCTATTTCTCTCCCCCCCCCCTCTCTCTCCATGTCAGGTACAGAGAGTACTGTCAAGAGGCTCAGGACTGGAGGTGCTGTCTCAGAGGTTCAACATCTCCATCAAGAGAGACGATGTGATGACTTTGGCTGGCCTCAACTGGCTTAATGATGAGGTAACTGCTTGTCCTATAGGTCAACATTGGTCCTTGTCCTATAGGACACTACTGTACTGTGTCATGTCCTATAGGTCATCAATTTCTACATGAACCTGATAATGGAGAGAGGGAGGGAGGAAGGGTCTGTGTGCAGTGTCCACGTGATGAGTAGCTTTTTTACCCCAAACTCTGTGACGTGGGGTACTCCGGGGTACGGAGGTGGACCAAAAAGGTAAGCATCTGTTGTGGGTTGTTTACAGAGCTGGGCTGGGCAGATAGTTTATGTCACTTCTCATCTGGAAAAGATTTTGACTTTATGTCATCTGAGGTGGCAACATTGTAGTGGAAAGTCATATGGTTGTGTTGATACTCCAGCAACAAGCCGTTAGTGCTCCATTTCTGTTAGTGCTAGTGGGCATTAGGTCATTCCCTATTCAACCAGTTGATCTGTGTACAGTTGTTTGGTCAGGGCCTGGGACGGTGAGTGTGAGATCTATTGTGGAGGGAAATGGTGGCAACAGGAGACACCTACTTCTCTCCAGGTGGATGTGTTCTCAATGGACCTGGTGCTCTACCCCATCCACCTCGGGACCCACTGGTGTCTGGCTGCCATCGACAACAGGCAGCAATCCCTCACCTACTACGACTCCCTGGGTGGGCAGGGCAAGTCTTGCCTGGCGAAACTGCGAGACTACCTGCTGTCTGAGTACAGAGACAAGAAGAAGGCAGAACTGAGTTTGAATGGTTGGAGGGATGTGCCAGTGAACGTGAGCCATTATTATACTGAACCATGGAACCCCAATGAGAACGTTCTCTCAAATAAGGATACTTCATCTTTCCTGAAGAACAGTTCTTGCGTACAATTTAACCGTCTACACACGCCTTTTCTCTGTTTTTGCAGAACATTCCTTTGCAAAAGAATGGTTCAGACTGTGGAGTGTTCACATGTATGGTGAGTCGCACAATACTGATCTCAGGCTCTCTCTACAACTCCTCTCTCTCTCTTTCTCTCTGTGTTGCAGTATGCTCGCTGCCTGTCCAGCAACTCTCCATTCGCCTTCTCCCAGGTGAAGACAGGGAGTATGGGGAGGGAGAGAACTTATAGTGTGTTTGTCTGTTGTGCAGGAGGATATGCCGCAGATCCGCAGACACATCATCTGTGAACTGTTGGAACAGAGGCTTTTCTGAACATTTTTTTTGAACGCCACGCGCACGCGCAAATACGTACGTGGCGGGAAACGCACAGTGCGCATGCGCCAAACAGGAAAAGCAGCTAGCCCTGCGTTCGAGAAGCTAGCTAAGATGTCAATGAAGCCGGCGTCGTGTCAGTTGTCTGGAGTGTGCGGCCGTGCAAGGCTCTTGTCCTCCGTGTTGCTGGTCTTTGCATTGCTCAAGACTGCTTTATCCGATGACGTCATCACCCTGAATTCTGGAAACTTCGACGAGACGGTGGAGACTCATGGAGTGTTACTGGTGGAGTTCTATGCTCCATGGTGAGTGTTCCGATCACCTGCTCACGTGCTATATACCTCCCTCTGGCTGTACGTACGAGAGTACGTGTACGTGTGCAGACTGAAATAGGTGCCCCACCCCCTTACTTTGTCAGCTTGCATACTGAAATATAGGTGTCTCAGTCTGTAGTGTGATATTGAATTATGTGTGTACACGCATCCTGGAGATGCTGTTTATTGTTGCTGATGATTGTACACTGGCCCCACCCATTTGTAGATGTCAAAGTCTGTTTTGCTCATTTGGGTTTCAGGTGTGGTCACTGCCAGCAGCTAGCTCCAGCATACTCACAAGCAGCTGCCACCCTCAAGGAGGACGGTGTGACTCTGGCAAAGGTCGACGCCACTCAGGAAGAACAGCTCTCTGACAGGTTCTCAGTACATGGCTACCCCAACACTCAAGATATTCCGTGATGGAGGAACCTTTGACTACCAGGGACCCCGCACTGCTGCAGGTTTACCTCTGACCTCTCTCTCTCTCTCAACTCTTATTGTGTGTTCAGGTATCGTGGAGTACATGAGGGGCGTGGCCAGCTGGAGATGCTGTTTATTGTTGCTGATGATTGTACACTGGCCCCACCCATTTGTAGATGTCAAAGTCTGTTTTGCTCATTTGGGTTTCAGGTGTGGTCACTGCCAGCAGCTAGCTCCAGCATACTCACAAGCAGCTGCCACCCTCAAGGAGGACGGTGTGACTCTGGCAAAGGTCGACGCCACTCAGGAAGAACAGCTCTCTGACAGGTTCTCAGTACATGGCTACCCCAACACTCAAGATATTCCGTGATGGAGGAACCTTTGACTACCAGGGACCCCGCACTGCTGCAGGTTTACCTCTGACCTCTCTCTCTCTCTCAACTCTTATTGTGTGTTCAGGTATCGTGGAGTACATGAGGGGCGTGGCCAGCCCTAATTGGACACCTCCCAAGGACCCTGTGCTGGTGCTAACGGGACAGAATTTCAGCAGTGTTGTCATGGAGACAGGGTTGGTTCTGGTGGAGTTCTATGCTCCGTGGTGTGGCCACTGCAAGAGACTGGCTCCAGAGTACCAGAGAGCTGCGGGCAGACTGAGAGAGATTAGGGCCCCTTGCTCCCTGGCAAAGATTGATGCTACAGTGGAGACTGACCTGGCGACATTGTACGGGGTTAAGGGCTACCCCACCCTCCTCCTGTTTAGACATGGGGACCACAAGGAGTACAGCGGAGGACGCGATGCAAATGGTGAGTGGATCAAGTTTGTACTGAGACAGGGATGGACTTCTCATTGCGAAACTTGCCTATGGGGAATGCAATTCACATACCTACTACTTACTTGAGACTCAAGTAAGACGTGTAGTTAGTGTTGATTCTTTGGCTCCAGCCATTGTACAGTTCATGGTGGAGCAGGCTCAGCCTGGGTCTCGGGAACTCTCCTCTTACAAAGAACTGAATTTGATGAGAAAAGAAGTCATCGATCCTCTGATTGTGACGTTTGTCTCGAGTGAGGATGCCCCTGCCCTCAGAGCTCATTTAGCAGCTGCAGACGAAGGGAGAGGACATCTGGTGCTGTTTGCTCACAGCCTCAGCTTAGAACTGGCGGGAAAACTGAGACTGGGGGACGGGGACACTGCTATCTTCATACCCAAGTGGTTCCGCTCCAAGTATGACCCTGAGATGAAGGTGTACCATATCCAGGAGAGGGAGGAAGAGGAGGGAGGAGTGCTGGAGGAGCTGCTGGTGGCTGCCCGACCCCTGGTGGGTCTGAGAGTCAAGAGGAACGAGGGATGGTTCAGCTCACGACCTCTGCTGGTTCTCTACTGTGATGTTGAAGGTTAGGGTCTGCTTATTTAAACACAGTTTGAAAGAAGTATCCAACTGTACGAATGTTACAGAGTTAATGAAGTCTTATGTTCCTCAGAAATGGACTATGTGCGAGAAATGGTGGCAGATATCGCCCGTGACTACTCCTCACAACTGACTGTAGTTCTGTCTAATAGGGATGAGTATCAGGAGGTAACCCCTGTGATTAGTGGTGGTAATGACTGTGAAAGGTTTGTGTTGTGGCTTGCAGGAGCTGGAGGATCTTGGGCTGGGTGACTGGAGCGAGGATGTCAGTGTGGGGATGTGGGGAGAGGGAAGGGAAAGGTATGCTCTGACCACACCCACCAGCCACACCTCCATCCGAGAGTTCATAGAGGTGAGGTAGAGTGGGTCAGGATTAGTGTGAGGTGTCCTCCCCACAGAGCTACCTGGCAGGAGAGCTGGTGAGAGTGCTGAAATCTCAGCCACTGCCCATGAAAGCCTAGGACGGATCTGTTACTGTTGTGGTGGGCTCCACCTTCCAGAGCCTTGTGATGGACCCAGCCCGCGATGTCCTGGTGGAGTTCTATGCTCCTTGGTGTGGCCACTGCAAGGTTTGTCTTGGTAGACGCAGTGGCAATTGTATGGTCTTCCTAGGCACTGGAGCCTGTCTACCAGCAATTGGCTAGCAAGTACAAGAATGATGATAGTTTGCTTGTTGCAAAGTTTGATGCTACAGCAAACGATGCTCCCACGGAGTTTGAGTTTGGAGGTAAGTTGTGTTGTCTGTCTTATCTCTATTGAGGATTGCATCTTTCTCCCTGTCTGCAGGTTTCCCAGCTCTGTTCTTTGTGCCTGCTGGTCTGGACGTCCAGCCTCTCCTCTACTCACAGCAGGAGAGAGAGTTGGAGGATCTGGTGGCGTTTGTCGAGACACACAGAACTGAAGCTAGCCCGCTAGAGCAGAGAGACGAGCTGTAATTGAATTCCCTCGTGGTTTTTGTTTGTAAATTGACATTCTTCGAGCAGCCCCGCCCATACACCAGTGTTGCATATCCACAGCGGAGCAAGCCAAGCGTGTCGGTAGTTGAGGAAGTATCTGGCGTATCACAGGCTCTCTGTCCCGGCCAGCGTCGTCATGAGCAGAGGAGAAGTAGTGAAGGCTGGTTACCTGACGAAGAGCCCTCCGGACGGTCGCCTCGGGCAGTGGCAGAAGCGATGGTTCGTCTTTGCGGACTCACACCGCGCCTACCCTCTCGCCCCGCGGTACGTTAGGATGGAGTACTACCACAGCGCCGAGGACGCAGAGATGTGTAGGAACCCGAAAGGTGGGTCGAGGTGCTTAGTTTTCGGCCGCTCCCAGCGTCTTTTGTGGGTATTTGTGGGTATGTAACTGCGTAGGGTGAAATATGGAAAGAGCGTGTTTATGTCTAGTACTGTGTACACTGGACGGTGTATGTGACAATGTCTCGTTGCTGCTGTTGAGTATATACAGGGCTGGCGGTGCGAGGGAGTGACTGCTCACTGGTCATGAACCATCAATCTGATCGTTTACCACCTTACCTTACACGGAGGCTCACATTTCTCCTCTCATACTGCATGACTTTTACAGTCTAAAGTTTCACCGAGACATGTAGAGCTGACACCCCTCCAGTTTACTCTACTTCCCCTTGCCCCTGCATTACTGCAGGTATAATTGACTTGAAGACTTGTTCTAAAGTTACCAACCGAGAGAACATGCGAGGCTTCAAGAATGTTTTTGATGTCTGTACGTCAGACAGAAACTATCACCTGGTGGCAGAGAATGATGTGGACAAGAGGACGTGGATAGAGACACTCAATACCACTCTCTTCACCTCCGCTTCCTCCTCCCCCGTCCCTGTTCCCGACACATCCCAGCAGGTGAGAGCTGCCAAAGTCAACAATGCAAAGTGTTTGTTGGTAAGGAATCTTTCAGTTCTCTGTCTCTTTGTCACATCTGCTGTTTTCAAAATTCTTCACTTCTTGTTGTTGCTTCAGTGTATGTATGTATTTATAGTCACCATAATTATTATTCATCTGCAGCGGAGCAGGCCAGTTGGATTCTCGCAATCACCCAGGTAATCTCTTTTTTGTAAGTATACCTAAATGATATGAATATGCATTATGTTGCAGCCCCGTTAATGGAGCTACATCATCACAAGACAAGGTATGCAGCATTATTATAGTTCTTGAAGGATTATGTGAACACTGAACTATTTTTCATGCAGGATAGGTAAGGAGACAGTACATGAATTAATATTTCTTTTTGTCTTCTTACTCCTCCATGTGGTAGCGTGGCCGAGTGGTCTAAGGCGCTGGTTTTAGGCACCAGTCATTTCGATGGCGTGGGTTCGAATCCCACCGCTGCCAATTGTTTTCTTGTTTGTTGTTATGATTTGGGTCTCTTTTAGGCGAATCAACTCACCGGCAGAGCCACCAGGTATTTTTTCGCTATAAGAGTTAGTGTATTGTGTGGATGCACAATTTTTGTGGCAGTTTTCAGACAGAGCTCAAGACCTCTTCCCCCAGTTCCTGGCAACACTGCAGTGAATAGACCGCTCCCACCCACACCAACTGACCATGCACGCACACCTACCCAGAATTTGCCATCACAAATCTCACGACCTCCTCTACCAACCCACTACAAACGACTCTCTGCCTCCTCTGATGGTGGTTCAAACAAACACCAGCTGGTTCGTCAGGTCAAGTCTACCGGTAAGCCTCACCCCCCTATCCTCAGCTCTATCGTGTATGTCATGGTGTAGAAGTTTTACAAGACGGGCCTAATCGATACCAACTCTCTGTTGCACCTGACTACCAAAATTTGGACGAAGGAAGCAGTAATCAGCACAGTATGTGCAGTAGAGTCTGTATAATTATGTCAAACTCTTATGTGCTACCCCTATGAATGCAGTCGTACCCAGTCAACCGGCAGACCCTCGGGAATATGTAAACTTGGACCAAGACTATGACGATACAGTAACAGAGAGTTGTGTGTATGAGGACTACGTCCCCAGACCAGCAGGAGCGCCCCCTGCTCCCATCAGTAAACCCAGAGGTACACCTGACAACGCTCTCTCTGTCTCTGTCTTGATCTTATGTGTGTAGGTACTACTAGTCATGGCTATGTGAATGTAGAGAGTTCTGCTCCAGACCCCGATGCTGAAAACTACAGGTAAAACCTCCACCATCGCTTTTACCAGTTCTCTCACTGCCTCATTCACTGTACAGTGTGTTAGAAGCAGAACCCAAAGAGCTCTCTGGTGATTACAGGTGTGTCACTTTTGATAGGAGTTCCATTCAGAGTGCTAGATGCGCATAAGATTTCGGACTGGCACACACCACTGGGTGTTTTCTATCAGGACTTACTGTCTTCAAAAGCATAGAAGTGATCAAGGGCAAATCCATCCCGCATTAGCTGTAGATTTTGGACCTGGCAACTGAATGAGTGGCTGTTTCTTCTCTCGCCTAGTGTCCTGGAGGCAGTCCATCCTCAGCCCACAGGGAGAGGTGAGGAATACTCGCGACTGGAGCTAACTGGCCACCTGGATCTGCCGGGCCCTCCAAAGGTTCCTCCAAAGAAACCTCCTCCGTATGGCAGGCAGAATAAAGGCAAGCAAATGGTGGTGTGTGTGATATCCTCTAATAAGACCCTCTTTCTGCTGCAGATATTGATTACGAGAACCTTGGTCACGTAGCTCACCCTGGCACTGGTGAATACAGCAGCCTTCAATATTAGAACTCTCCTTGTTCTCTATTTTAACGCATGCGCACTCTCAATAATTTTCAGCACACCTAGCAACCAACGTGCGTTACCATGGAGATTCGTCTACGTAACCAAGAGTTTCGTCAACAAACCGCTTTCACGTGATCTGTCGCGTGCTCGATTTGTCACCGATTCTCTCTCTCTCCTGCTATACTGTGGTGGACGAGCTTTTCCCGCCACTTCTGGAAAGCCTGAGGCCTGCCTTCAAGTGCAGCAGTTGGAATTGTTGGGAAGAGACAATGTTGGCGACAATGCTAGCCCAAGGCGAGGTGGGAGAGCTGCCTGAGCCCGCGGGCAAGGACGAGGAAGTCATCACCGTGGACGGAGAGCTGACTTCTCTCTCCTGGCTCCAGAAGCCTGGCGTCCTCACCTCCATGTGCACGGCTCTCACAGGCTCCCCGCATGGCGTCAATAAAATTGCTGGTGGTCCCGGAAGAGCGCAGAGACGGCCGCGGCGAGCCGGAGGAGGCAAGGAGAGACCGGGAAAGGCTAAGCTGGACTCGGAGCGAATGTTCAGTGTCATCCTCAACGTCCGGAACAAGAAATACGACGGGGAAGACGCGCAAAAGCCTCCTCTGTCGTTCGCCTGTATGATATTCATGTCTCTGGAGAGCTCTCCGACCAAGACCCTGCCAGTGAAGGAGATATACGACTGGATACAGTGGAAGTTCCCGTTCTATCGCACAGCCCCCACTGGATGGAAGAACTCTGTGAGACACAACCTCTCCCTCAACAAGTGCTTCAAGAAAGTGACGCGAGGCATGGGCAAGGTAAGCTAGCCATGTGTGAATGTTACTTGTGGCTTTCTCTCTGTGCCATGCATGACCATGAATGTTATTAGTGGTTTTGTCTGCCTGCACAGAGCAAGTGCAGCAGCTTCAGCAAAGGAGGGCTCTGGACAGTGGATGCTGACTACAGGCGCAGCCTCCTCACTGCACTCAAACGCTCACCCTACCATCCCTACCACAGCTATTTCACTCCTCCTCTGTCACCCAGGTATTGTTTGTGAGTAGGGATGTGTAGTGTGATGGAATGTGTTGATTACACACTCCCTCTCTCCCTCCAGTTCAAGCTGCAGCAGTCTGGAGAACCTTGACCCCGCTGAGAGAGATGCGGCCCTCACCATGTGTATGATAGGTGGAGGCAGGGAGGGGAGTCCAGGTTAGCTTCTTTCTCTCAACACTTGAGGTTTTAATGTCTCGTGTACCTCCAGCAGGTCTGTTGTATGCAATGCGCCATGATCACAGTTACGCCAGGAGACCTCCCTCTTACTCCCCTCCCTCTTCCAAAGGGTAAGGAATAAAAATTGCTGCAAAGCCAAAAAGACATGTGATTATTGCGTCAGTGTTTATCATATTCACTGTCCACATCAACTGTATGAGAAGATGAGCATATTCATGTCGGGCAACATACACCGCAACCAAATACAAATAAGATGCTGTATTCACAGTTGGTCCATTATTCATGTCCACTGCTAGTCTCAGTCTGGCTGAAGTGGCTGCAGCTGCAGAGATGATTCTGGAACAGGACAAGATGGACTGTGAGAGTGGGGACGGTGGTGAGGAGGGGGAGGAGGAGGAGGAGGGGAGAGAGCAGTCCTTCTGCGACAGTGGTTATGGCGGGGGATCTGACGAGTCGACTGAGCAAAAGTGAGTCCTCTTTTCTCTCATTTCTCCATATCTCATATCCGTGTGTCCTATATAGTTTGGAGGAATTGGGAGCTGATGCATTGCTGGCCTTGGCCTGTGGAGCTAGAAGCCCCTGAACGGCTCCATTTCTCTCCATCTCCGGATTCAATCACCACTGGCTGTGTGTGCCTCTCTGACTGGTGCCCGCGGCTACAAAGTATTGTTATTTTCTCCTATATAAGTAATTCACCTCTGTGTTTGTGTGTGACTTCTTTGCGTTGTACATTTGTAAAGTCTAGTCCTAGCTCTTGTTTCAATCACAGACTCAAATCAATGATCACTAATGTGTATTCACATTGTTATACTGTGCCATGTATCATCATTTCTTCTTGCAACACGGACAAACGTCGGGTTGTGTGCGCATGCGTATTATTTACACGCCCAACAGTGGGTGGGGGCGTGGCTCGCACGTTTTGATGACTATAATAGCTGGACCCAAGAGCTGTCGGAGGAACATCGAGCGATCTGAGTAGTAGGGAAATGGCGACAAACCCTCGTCTTGTTGATACAAGTACCAAATCCGTACATCAGCTCTCTGCAGGAGCCAAGTACCTCTTGGGTAAGTCTGACGACCGCTGACGTCGAAAACTGATTCGCTATTACGAGTCTTCAGCTAAATAACTGCATGTTTTAGCGTCCGATTTTGCGAATATTTTTTCTTTTTTCTGTGGAAGCCTGATATGCAGTGCTCTTGTAGCGAGGGTCTTGTAAAGATGTAAAAAGAGAGAGTACCGATGAGTGCATTGGCTACCCTTGTTAGGGTGTAAGACAATCCCCAGCCAAACAAATTCTTGGCTATTGATACAGGTAATGGTATGAATTCTCCACTCCTGTTTGGGTGTCGTAATTGTGTTAGGACACGGTTCATTGCTACCCTTGGCAGCTTAGGGACTTACTACACACTCTTGGCATGCCTTTCCCTCCCCTCCCCAGCCTCACACTCCCACCTCTTCCCACCCTCACTGGACACCCAGGCATCCTCCATTTCTCCACCTCTCCATCTTCTGCTTCCTCCTCCCCTTACACACAATGAACAGTACTGTGTCCAACTGGAGGTAAGTTATCTCCTTCTTGATACGCTCCTCCTCCATATGAGGTTCCCCTGTCATTCCAGGTTGATGACGAGGGGAGTTGTCTTGTGAGTGTGTGGGTCGGAGAATGCAGTGTGGACAAGAAGATTGTTCCAATTAAATGCAACCAAGTTTCTCTCTCTCATGGTATGCCACTCTCACCTACCCGTCCCTTCCAAAACTCAAAACACTGTCATAGAGTCTCTGCTGAAATTGGGAAAGGATCTGGTTCTGCAGTACAATACCAATTCTGAGGGGCTGCAAAGGCGACGGGTGCTACCCCAGACCCCAGGCCAGCAGCTGAGCGTAGCTCCGCCCTCCAAACCAACTCGTACTCAGCCTCTTGTGAGAGTGCAGCCATTGTTTCTGCCCTTCCATACTGGACCATGCACAACAATACAACTGTTTCCATGTATGTATAGTGTGTGTACTAGTTGTTTCCTCTTGTTCTGCAGCCATTGCCAGAGAGGAATGAGGCTGTGGCAAATGGAGACAGCAGTTCGTTGTCTCTTGAAGAATCCCTCAACCCAGGTATATACCTACCACCCCTCTCCCACCATTAACTCAGAACCCCACTGCTCTCTCTCTCTCTCTCTCTCTTCCTCTATGTCAGGGTTGAGAGAGCGACTGAAGAGAATAGCTCGTGAGGTGAACTCCAGGGAGAGTGGAGCAGGTCGCAGCAAGCCACCTCCCGTCAGTGGCCTAGTCTTCTCTCTTCTTCTTTTAACCCTCTCATTCCACTTGTAGCCATATGAGCAGGTTGGCAACAGCATTGGCTACCAGCTGTTGTTGCAACAGCAGAGCAGCGAGGGAGACGTGACTTCCCTCATGATTGACAGTCTCTACCCAATGTTGAAGGTAAGGACATACTGAGCCATTGTAAGTGAGACATTTTTTGCTGCTTTATGGTATGGTGACGGCACCCATGCGCAGTTCTCAGACTGAGCTTTGTTTTTTGTTCCTATTCATTTGTACTTTTATGTTTTCGTGCTTTGTGTAGCCTTATATTTTGATTTTTCTTCTTCTAGTACATGCAGCTAAAGGAGCAGTCGCTGGAGCAGTTCTATACTGACTATCTTGAACAATATTCTGCTGCCAGGAGAGCCGGAGCCACACCTACAAATATGCATCCGGAGGACACGCCCACCATTGTGTTTGTAGTGGATACTCTCATTCAGCTGTGCTCTCTACCAGTGAGGATTTGCACTTTTAATCCATTAGCGTCAGTGCTGTGGGGGTCCACTATCTGCAATAAATATTAGGATTATAATAATGTCGGCTGCGGTCTATACCACGTATAATAATGAACCCAGATATCTCTGTTTGCTGTAGAGAGTGAACGAGCTGGCTGTTCGCTACTGTCCTGTGTGGATGAGACTTCTCTCCATCTTCTGCCATTCTCCACGCAACCAGCTTGCCATGGCAACCAAGCGACTAGCTACCAAGGTGACCTTCTTACTTTGTCAGTGATGTAATAATGACATTGTGTCTGATCAGGTTGTATCCTGCATGGGGCTGGGGATTATGGCAGAACAACCAGACTTCCAGACCCACGGCTGGTCTGTGCTCACACATGTTGTGGCCACGCCTACTCCACGAGGTAGCAAGGTACGCAAAATTTCGGGGTGTGGTCAATGGATGTTACGTGGTATGTGTGGAATGCAGCCAGCTCTGCCCGAGCCTGCCATTGCTCTGGCTCTCCCACTAGTGGAGAAACAACTTGAGTTATTTGGAGGCCAGTTGCCCCTGGCAACAGCTATCCTTGGATTCCTGTCTCGACTGGCATCTACTGCAAAACTGAGTCAGACAAGAGACTCAGGGAAAGGGGGCGTGGCCGAAGAGGAAGAGGAGGTTTACACTTTGGAGCAGGTGTGCGATAAACTAATGTTGTCATGGTTCCAAAGAGTCAGTGTTAATGTCTGCAGGCTTCACGGGTCCTGGAGCTGCTATCAGCGCACAGTGTACTGCGCCACGTGATGAAGGTACCTCCCAATGTGAGGAAGGACCCTTCATTTGACGCCCACTACTGCCTTCTGGTGAAGGCCCTAGTGCCCACTCGGAAGAAGGTAGCAACGAAGCCCCCCTCCTCTCTGGCACCGTCTGCCCACTCCACCAGCTCGCTGGCCCCGCCTCCTGCCAAGCCCAAGAGAATCAGGAGAGCTGCGACAGATGCCAACCTCATGGGATCCAGGGTGAGTAAAGAGAGCGGGTGACTTAGTCCGAATGTATTGTCCAATGCCGTCAGAAATCTCGCAAGAGTCGAAAGAGCTACAAGAACAGGGCAGAAGAAGGAGGCAATAGTACTAGCAGGTATGTGTGTATGACTGTGTGGTATAGGGAGGGGAGTAACAAACTAATGGACCAGTGCTACAGTAGCTGATATGAGTCGAAGTCTGTCAGAAGAGAATGTAGCAGAATTTGAAAGGAAAAGAGAGGAAGAAGAGGAGGAGGGAGTGGTGAAAAGTGAGGGAGAGGAAGAGAGAGGAGGAGGGGGAAAAGGGTTCAGAGGAATGAAAAGCACAAAAAGCGTGTGAAGAAGAGTGAAGGCGTCTAAAGAAAAGAACTGAGGTTAGAATGGACTGCCACTCTTACATCAAAATGGCCAAAAGAGAGAGGATAGGGACAACGAGGAACAGAATAGCACTCCACTGCACAATGAGCAGCCACCAGCAAAAGACGGCACACCAGAGAACAAAGATTTTGTTACAACTACCATTCCTCCCCTGTCTGCTTCTCCACTCAGTCCAGACTCTCTGGCAGGTACATAGATTTGGATCACATGATGTGTCATGTGACCTGTGGTCTACAGGAGACATTGCGACAGCACTTGCAGAGGTACGACGACCAGTTCGGCAGTATTCCCTCAAGCGTAACCCTGGGCAACCAGAGGTACATGTACCTGATGTTCCAAACCACAATTTCTACTACCGCACGTCGCTGAAGAGAAAATCACTTGAACCGGCCATTGTGGATGAGGAGGTATTATTTTATAAGAACGAGGTTGTATTAATTATACATACTTCCACTGTAGGCACCGACAGGTAGACAGTCGTGGGCTCCTCTGACTCCGCTCTCTCTCCCACTAGACCACACCCACCCACTGGAATCCAGCATTGATCTTTGGACATCGGTACATTTATCTAACATGAGAACTGTAAACCTGGTATACTGTAGAGTTAAAAGTAAAATCAGGAGTGAACACTCACCCACTGTCCAGTGGTATCTGCCCATCTCTCCCTCACTAGAGCTGCAGGAATAGAATAGTTACAGAAAAGTAGATATAAGTAGAAAGCTGCACAGGAAGTGGACTATCATAGTGAAGGCTATTGTGTGATGAAATGTGAGCCAACAATAGACCATTGTATGTCTCTAAGATATCATGTTCTCACCTGCCATTGTGTACAATACCTGTACAACAATTGCATGAGTCCATTCTTACTCATTGTGATGAGTCAGAACTGCACTCATGCATGTATGCAGGAGGTGGAGTGTGGACACAGAGATGTGTGCGAGGCTCTGTCAGAGAGGCTCCAGATGCTGCAGGATGTTTGGAGATTGTGGAGGGAAGGTAGAGGCCTCCAGGCAGCCACTAACTGTGTGCGTGGCTGTTTCTCTGACGATGTGTACGACACAGCCTTGTTCTGTGACCTCCTCCGCTCTTTCAGCTCCTTGCAGTTAGTGTTGTTCTGTGGCCCTGACTCCTACTTTCCCCTGGGCCTCTGCAGGTCTCCGTGGACACTGGCCATTGCTGTGGTTCTGCTCCCAGTCATTGTCCAGCTCCTGAGCTCTCTGAGAGAACCGGCGCAGCTCCAAGTACTGGTTGGGGTAGTGGATATGGTGGTACAGAGGTTCTCTCCCTCCATTCTAGCCTGCAAGAGTGAGGAGCATAATGTTTTCACATTTTTTCTGTTTTTGTGAAGACCATGATGCCATGTACAGTAGTAGGGTGCACGACGGAATCTTGTTCCTCCTTCCTTGCCTGCCTCTCACTCTTTGCAGAGGGAAACAAGTCTCGCAGTGTATCTGCGACCTCTGATCTCCAACAGAGGACCACCTGCTACACCGCACTACACAAGGCCTGGGTTGCCCTGGGAGACCGGCTGGAAGGAAAAATCGTTGCCAGCGACAATGGAGAAGTCATCAGTCTTTTATCAACATTGAGACAATCTCTAACTCCCTTTAGTACCAAACTCACAACTAACTAGCCACTGCAGTTTTGTATGATTGATACAGTTGTGAATTCATATGAGAAAAAATGCCAACAAAATAATACAATTGGACAGAAGAGGAATGTGAGTCACTCGGTAAACTCCCAGAAGTCGTTGTCATATCCCTCGTAGACGTGCTCCAGGACGGCGCGACACCTCATCTCACAGTACCTGAGGCCACACACCCACTGGATAAGTCAGGGAGAAGAGAGAGTGAAAATAAAACTCACTTGGTCTTGTCCTGTACCATTGTTTTCATGTTAGAGAGGGTGTCTTCCGTAATGTCTCTCTCCAGGTATTCTGACAGACACTCTGTCGCCATCTCCAGGTCCCCCTGGTTGTCCTGGGAAACAGCCCCCTCCCCGGCCCCTCAAACAACACTCTTGGCCAGTGGGTGTGGCTTACCTCGAAAATGAAGGTGTGGTTGTTCTTCTTCAGGTAGAAGGCAAAGCAGTAAGAGTACATGAGTACCTGCCGACATTGACACAGTACATCTACGGCTTTCTTGACAAACTGAGCTTCAATCCATGACACATTCATTGCTTGCAGTTCCTGCATCTTGGAGTGAGCCATCTCGTACAGCTGGGGGAGAGGAGGGGAGGTATGTACCATCAGTACATCAGCAGACATACTCACCTTGTGTTCCATCTGAAGACTCTTCATGTGGTTCATATAGCGATTGCAGTAGAAGAGATATCTGTCAAGAGCTGCTCGTGATTGCTGCAGAACAAGGCCTTCGTCATCACGCATACTGTGACAAAGGTCAACTCACTGCCTGAAGGTTTCTGGCGTCTTTTGACTCCTTCTCATTGTATCTGTTACAGTTGTACCTGCAGACACCGTCAGTATGCAGTTACATTAATGCTGGGAGAAGGGGACTCACCAGCTAGCACCGTGAGGAGCCCATGGTCCCAGGCATACCCAGCAATACTCACATCGGCATGTTGAACACACCATGTGATTACACCCACCGTTTTTCTCAATGGTGGCCCGACATTTTGGGCACTCCTGAACAGATAGAAGAGGAGGAGGCACAGTGAAAGAGAGGGAGAGAGTAGAGGAAACCTTTGTGTTGACGTGGATCCAGTTGGAAGTTTCACTATCATCATCGCATTTCTTCTTCCAGCGAGTGAGGTAGTTGCAGAGAACTGGCTCATGAGGCTCCTCACAGCACTTGAAACTAGAGAGAGAGAGAAGGCCAGTGACACCATTGAAATTTTAATGTTCCATAGAGTCTTTTATTCAGAGGTTCAACTGTAGAGAGAAAGGCTCACCAGAAGGAGTGGCCACATTCACAGACGACAGGTTGCAGATCAGCATTGGTGCATAGGACAGCATGCGAGCAGCCAGGAGCAGGACACCAGCGAAGGTGAGGATGATCCTGGACAAAACTACTTGTGATGAGAAGTTGGTATTTCTTGCGGACCTATGAGGGAAAGAAAGGAATTAGGGAAGGGGTGTTGGATCAGCTCACCTCAGGTTTTCTGAGCAGACGCAGCACAGTGGCCTCGTCGACGACAATGGAGCAGTGAGAGGCAGGGCACTGGATGCTCTGACTTCGACCCTCACACATGACCATGACCTTCAGATAAGAGTCCCAGCACTCCTGGCAGAAGTAGTGGCCACACTCCAGTCCACACATTGCCTACAGACAGGAGGTTCAGAGGTCTTACAGATGTCTCTCGGAGTGTCAACATACGTCGAAGATGTATGCCAGCATGCAAATATCACAGATAAACTCCTGTCCCGGGAGAGCTGCAGCGCCACAAGCTGCTGTGGACTGGGTCTGGAGAGGAAGGAGAGATGAACTGCTGTGATTAGGACAGTAGAGAGGAGCTTACTCTGACTTGGAGAGTTGTGCTGTCTGTCTGAGATTGCTGGCGTCGCTGTGGCACTACATGAGCCTCTCTAAACAGCACCTCCTGGTCTCCTGCATAGTACCTGGTGAGAAATAGGGTAATGGCAGGCTCCTGACTCCTCTCTCTAACCTCTCCAGCAGCTTCTCCTTGTCCCACTTGCAGGCAATCAGCAGCAACCTCACGTAGGGAGTGGGCAACTGAAATACCACGTTCACTTCGTCCACAATGTCGAACATCTTTTTGCTGATTGTGTCCGCACTGAGGGAATGGTAGCTCGGAGGTTGACGGCAGACGGCGCCCGCGGAAGTGGACTTGGTTTCCTGAAACAGTTTACGACATTGGAGGGGGGGTCTGGCAAGGTTTAGGACCAAGGCATGCTCACCTCGTCACTCGAGAACCGCAGTTCATCCTCTTCCACGTCTTCCTCTCCCTCGCTACTCTCCTCATACACGTCCTCTATGTCACACATCACTACACCTACCCACCACAGAGTAGGGAACGACAGTAGAGAACAAGAAAAGAATCGCTCCACACACAGCACAGGCAGGGGATATTTCAGTTGTTGATCAGTGCCGGCCATGTATGATGACGACGCAGAGATGTTACTATATATAGTACACACCACCTTTTGTTGCTAAAAATAGATGTTGCCACGGTTACCGAAAAACGGCGGCGACAAAAGCGTAGCTAAGAATAATGACGAGCAAGACTTTGATCGGGAATTGGGTGGAAGAGGTATATATACACATGATTTGCTGTGTAGTTCCCGGCATGCATTATATATATACACCGCTACTAGCGCCAGTGTGCAGGTCTCGAGGAAGGCAACAGATGTGCTGATGGAACTCTCAGCACAGGTCTGCACCGGAGCGGTCACCGTGGGATCCTGGCCACCAGCACTAGCATGGAAACGTCTTCCACGACACATGATTCTTATGCTAGCCCACAACCGACCACTGTCAGAACCACTGGTATTGCAGAATTCATACACTCTGTGTATGCCCAGGGTTTCAGCACCACACACACCAACACACAGGGAGTAGAGAGGCTGCACTTCGCAATACTGCCTACAAGCTGGTGAGTAAGCAGGTCCAGGAGGAGTTCCACCCTCCACCACCACCACCAGAGTACATTTCAACTACTAGGAATGATTACAGTAAAGGTATAATTGGAGGCCTTGCATCACACAGTCAGTGCCATAAACCATAATTCTGCAGATTTCCCATCATCCAGGCCACTTCCTACTGGGGTATGTGCACCTTATTTGCTAAAAACCTTATTAATAGTATATTTTCTCCAACAAAGCCCCACAACTTGTGTTCAGAGGCACCAGTGACATACTGGACCCAGAACAAAGACAAGATAATGGTAGCAGGACTGCAGCAAATTTCCGACAAGGTTATTGTCCCCCTTTTACCCCAGGGCACAACTCAAGCAAGAGGGGGCACTTCACCATTTGCCACGAATTCTGCTTTCAGTACACCCATCTCGGATTACACGGACCAACCACTGCCACACGACCTGCCCTTTTGAGCTTTGAACTATGAACTCATAAAAAAACTGCACGTGGAATTTTTTGTCGGTGAACTTTATGCGCATGCGCACGATGAGCGCCGCACGCACGCAGCTAGCTAGCTAGCTATAGTTGATTCCACTGCCATTTCTTCCTGTCCTCGGCCTCTTGAGACAGTGGGCAAGCCGAACCTGAGTGGAAACTGAGTATACTTGCGAATTAGCCGCTTTCAATTTCCCGGGGACCCTCACTGCGGCATTCGTCAGTCCGCGGACCCTGCGAGTCGTGAGGGTCTGCGAGCGGAGATGTCTCAGGAAGGAGATCTGCAGCACTCGCTGCGCATTGGGGACACCGTCCTACTTTATGCGAAGGAAGCTCGCGGCTATGTGTTTTCTGAGCTGACAAGGTGAGCAGTTTTGCAATTGCACAATGTTCAACTGCCGTCCTGCAGTTCCAAGCACAACTCAGTCGTCGTCACATCGAGAGCGGTAGGTGGCACGTTCAGAGAGCCTCGTTTCGACAATGTACATGGTATTGGTACCCTTGTGAGATCTGGAGTTTTTCATCATAATTTTTCTGCAGTTGCTACATTCTGTGTTGTGGCAGCCAACAAGAACAAGGCGCAGGAGAGGCTGCTGGAGCTGAAGAGGAAGATTGGGTGAGGCCATTGTAGATTCCCCTGGGAGCCTGCAAGCCAAAACAAGTTTGTATACAGCCTCAACAATGGAGGGGGGTCATGCTGTTAGAATGTGTTGATTGCCCTGTGTGTGTGCTGTTGCAGGAAGAGGGAGATGACCTCTCATCAGAGCAACGTTCTGCACCAGGCCAAGGTGAGCTGGTGTGGGTGTGCTGGTTTCATTTCCTCCTCTCTCCCATTAACAGAAAGCAGTGGAGGCCGAGTTGAAGGAGAACGCAGGAGAGCAGGAGCGGTTGCTTGGATCACAATTTGTTTACGGAGACAAGATCCAGGTAGAGTACCCTGTCCCGCACCCACTGCTTCAGTTTCTCTTTCCCTTCCCGCTGACACAGCTGCACCACACTCTCACGGGCAAGTATGTGAGAGTCAACTCAACTCTGACCTCTCGTACTGAAAATACCTCGCTGCGTGTGGAGCTGAGTGGCGAGAACAGCAACAGCTGTGTTTTCAAGATCCTGCCTCGCTACAAAGTCCGCTCAGTTGGGGATGTGGTGAGTGCATGAGTGTGTGTAGAGTGTGAAGGTCATTGACTTGAGTCTCACTGGCTCCAGGTCCGCTACCAAGATCAGATCAAGTTTGAGAGTGTCATGACTGGAGGTCAGTTCCTGCACTGCAGCCTGCGACCGTGTGGAGCGGTGGGGTTTAATGTCCTGGAGCACAGGTGAGTGTGCCTGGCTGTGGCTCTGATAGACCATTCTCCTTCCTCTCCAGTTTTGAAGTGAACCTTTCAGCCACCGAGTCAGCTCTCACACTCATCCCCCATTACCGACCTTTCCCCTATCACAACCCCAAGACTTTTAAGGTGGAAAATGATGTTTGGTTTACTGTGCATTGTTTTCTTTTCAATATCCCATGAAATGTTGTAGTTGTGACATAGTGTGTGTGTGTGCGTGTGTGTGCGTGCAGGCCAATCAGTCGGTGAGGCTGTTCCACAGGGAGTATGAGTGCTACGTGTCTGCTGAGGGGTCGTTTGCTGAGAGTAAAAAAGTTGTTGTTGAGGATGGTAAGTGTGTGGTAGTTGTTGTGAGCTGCTCATGTGAGTCCTCCCTCTCTGTCAAGTCCACTGCCGCAGGCGGAAAACAGACCACGGGATACTGAAAGCTCCGTCCACATCGGCCAACACCTTCTGGCAGATTGAGAAGGAGAGTGATCCTCGGAGTGGAGAGCCCCTCAGCTGGGGGGAGCGCTGCCGCATCAGACACATGCCCACCCGACGCTATCTGGCAGTGCTGGACGAGGGAAATAGCAAGTACAAGGTAATGACTAAGTCACTTCTTCCTTGCTAGTGATGCTATGTGTTTGGGTTGCATTAGGTGACGCTGAAGGAAAGGCGGAGTGTGGGACACACTGCAGCAGGGCAGGACCTGGAAACAGTCTTCTCTCTGTTCCCAGTGATTCAGGAGGGAGACACTGTTCTCTTTGAGTCCTATGCCAGGATCAAGCACCTGGCCACAAAGACCTGGCTGCATCTGGAGAGAGGTATGTAAGCCACTGCTACATCCTCAGTCTAGGTGATTAGCATTTCCCCCAGAAGACGCTTTAGATTATGGCTTCTGTTAGCCAACATTATGCAGTGGGGACTGCCTTAGGGTGTGCCAACCTTTGTTCTGTGGGTAACAGAATTCCTTTCATATTTGATCCCTTAATAAGGAAGAAGGAGATCTCCCTACTATTGAAAATTATCATTACTACACATACTTGACCCCTTAGTAAGGGAGAAGGAGATCCCCATACTATGCCATTACTAGCATTACTACTCATCACTGTAGGTTTCAGTGCTGGAGAGTGTTTTCCTCATTTGCAGGAGAGCAGTACAAACGAAGGGCCTTTGACCCCACAGCTGTGGGTCTGGAAGGGTTGGAGTGGGATGGAGCTGAGCTTTTCATGGTGGGTGGTCTAACATGTATGTTGGCTAACTAGTGACGGCGTGTCCTCTGCAGCTGCAAGCCTCTGAGACAATGAACTACGATGATGCCTTCACCCTGGAGATGGTGTCGCAATCCTTGCTCGACAAGTTTAGCTACGTGGCCGGTATTGTGCCAGTTCTCACTTCCTACCTCAACCAGGTTTGTCTGTCACTCGGGACAAGTCCCAGGTCATGTGATATTGATCTCTTGCTTTCTAGAGTGGCATTACTGGGGTGGTCTCGGCTGATGATGCCTACCTGGTGGCCAGCGCTCTAAAGGATCTTGCTTACTATATTTCAGCCTCCTCCAGCGACCGCGAGAACAAAGACAGACAGAAGTTGTTACGAAATCTCAGAGTGGTGGAGATCATCATTGAAATTCTCGGCATGTTCAAGCAGGACACTGGAATATCTGAGTGAGTGAGGCTGCGCTTGGAATGTATATATGTATGTAGTGAGACACCAATGTCCAGCCATGAACGAGAGGTCTGCAAGGCCTGCTACCTGGTCATTGAGAGCTATTTGAAGGGAGACAGTCGCAAGAACGAGAACTACCTGGCAAGATTCATCAAATTCTTTCAGCAACAGGTATTGCCTTGGTTCTCCTCTCCCTCTTCTCTTCTGTGTGTGTATGTATACTTTTACTGTGTGTTCTGTGGCTGAGTGCAGGTTGGAATGGACTTGAATGCTGAGGAAGTCATGATTGAAATGGTGGAGGACAATACGTAAGAACACCAGCTTTCTTGTTAGTGTATGTATTTCCTTCTGTCTGTCCAGTGCCATTGTGTCAAAGATGGCGTCAGCTGAAATGGAGTTCATGCTCCAGAGATTGGTGGAAACCAAAGATGCTCGTTTCCTCCTCTTCCTCAGCAACCTGTGTGTCTGTGACGGGAGACCCATTCCCTCCACACAGAGTACGTTGCTCTGAGAGGAGACCACTCTTTGAATATGCTCTGATGTCCACAGACACCGTACTGGAGAAACTGGTCAGAGCTCACGGGAAATCTGTGTTCTTTCGTCTGGAGGTTGGAGGGTCTGATTTCTACCCTGAGGGCGAGAAGGGTGTGGTCTACTACCAGCGACCACGCTCTGCCCGCTGGGAGCCTCTGTTGAAAATTGTGTCTAGAGTCAGTGGTGGCTCTTTTTTGTGATATCTAGTGGCAGCTGTTGTGTTGCTCTGCAGGAAGCCTCGGTGGAGGATGAGGATTTCCAGTTCCTCGACTCACAGCTCCTGCTGTTTGGGAAGATGTGTCAGGTATGTGTGTATCCCTCCTCACTCTGTCGTCTCGAGAGGGACTGACTCCGTCTCCAGGGTAACAACGAGCGGTGTATCAGAGCACTGGACAAGGATGACCTCCGCTATGTCACGTTCCAACAGGCACTGTGGTGTGTGAGCTGCTCACAACTTCATCCCTGCATCGCCTCCAAATATGTGGAGCTGATCAAAGGTAGTATTATTGTCTTGTGTCTCTGTAACATAACTGTCCTTCCTCTCAGTGATGTTTGTGGATGTTGGGCTGAACAGAGCTGTCCTAGAAACCCTCTCTCTCTCCTTCGTAAGTCTGCAACACCTCTAGTTGGGCTCCACTCTCCTCTATGACCTTGACCCAGGTGTATGACGATGTGGTGGAAGATCCGTATGCAGACACTGGCGGAAACGAGGAGGAAGCTCTGACTGGAGTCATCAACATTTACTTCCCGGAAATGAAGAAATGGATCTTCCAGTACTTGTCCAAAGTAGCCGAGGAGGTGCTCAGTGTGTGTCGTTAGTGTCGAATGTTGCCTGTGACGTGCTCATCTACTAGGGTGTGGTTGCTAGGCACACGGAGGACAACATGCAACTGGCGAAAGTCTTGGAAGTGCTGGCATTACTGGTTAAGTATGGTTACTATGACGATGTGGATGATGTGGAGGAAGTGCTGCGGCCTCTGGTGGAGGTGATGAATGGAAAGACGGACCTTCTCTTCCCCAAGACTGCCGGTAATGATGCTGGTGAGTCCTCACAGGGGTCGGGGGTCATTGGGGTCAGGGGTTCGGACGGTGTGTGTGTGTGCAGGTATGGAGCAAAAGGACTTCCACGGCACTAGTCGCTACAAAGAGACTCAGCAGAACAAGGCAGTCTTCACAGTAAAGGAGAGAGCCATCGAAGTCCTTGACCTCCTTTTCAACTTTCGTTTCTACGTCCGACTGCAGGTTAGACCCACACACAGCAAGCTGTCTTCCTCCTTCACGTCCTGTTTCACAGAGATTCATATTTGAATTCCGACAACTGCGAGGTGATGCGAGTCTGCAGCCTGAGGCCACACCTTCTGGGAGGGGTCTTCTCTCCACAGTCAGCACTGCCAACCCGCCCATGTTGCTGAAGACCCTAATGACTCCTCCCACTGCTCCCACACCGGACAACCTGCACAGCTCTGTGTAAGTTTCAGCTCAGTGGTGTCAGTAGTGGCAGGTGGAGTTTTCTGTGCAGGATGGTGGGTACCGTGAGAGAGAGACTCAAGTTCCTTTTCTCAAAGAGTGCCTACTTCTTTGAGTGTTCCAACTATCTCCGATCGTCCACCCCTTTCCCGGAGATCTTGATTGACATGTCTTGCTACCACAGCGAGGAACTGGTCCAGGGCTCACTGCACCTGCTGAACAGACTTTTCTCAGCAGAGACGTCTCTCTTCCACAGTGCCCTGCAGACTCAGCTGCTGCTGACCGACAAGTCCAAGGAGGTAGAGGTTGAAAAAGACATTTCTCGCTTCACTGTCAGAGGGTCTGCTTGTTTTGTGAAGGTGTTCAGTAAGATTGAAGACATGTTGCCTAACCTTCGGCGCCTCCTCAGTCTTGATCTGAGGGACGATGGGAGGTCAGAGGTCATCCACATCCTCCAGACATTCACGGAAATGTGTCAGCTGCCACTGCAGGAGTCTGAGCCACACACTCAGAACCAAAAGATCCTCTATAACTTTGGTCAGTGGCCCGTGGCAGCAGGGAGAGGTGGAATGTATGTTTACTGTTTTTGTAGGTGTTCTGTCGGACATCTTGGACTACGTGCTGGAGCCAGCCAACATCCTACAGGGGGAGGCCACCCCAGGACCCGATGCAGACGACAGCAGTAGACCTACAGTAGGCAGCTGTCCTCTCAGTCCTCACCGTGTCCATCTTTCTCTTCTCTCTCTTCAGGCTGTGAATGAGACTGTGTATGTGAAGTGCTTCCTCTTCCTAAAGGTGTTTGCCCGCAGAAACCCAGAGGTCCAGCGAAGACTGTACGACAGCATGAATGACCTCCTTGACATTGGGGTACCCCAAATTTACCCCACTCCACTCCATGGCAACCACTTCCCAATGTTTGCAGGTTGATGTCCCGTATGTTGCCATGGTGTTGACGGAGGTGTTCACTGGAGGGCCGGAGATTTGTCTCCGTGTGAAAGAGGAGCAGGTGGAGCGTGTTTTCCACCTCATCAGTGAAGGAGGAGGAGGTAGTCCTGACCTCCTGCACACCCTCCAGTCCATGGTGAAGGTGAGTCAGGTCGCTTGTGGCTGAATGTCGGAGGCTGGGGAGAAGTGATGGAGGTTTCTGTCTCTGAGCAGGTGGAAGATCTAGACCTGCCCATCAAGAGAAACCAGGCCTTTGTGATCCAATACTTTAGCAAGACACGAGACAAGTTCTGCGACCATCTGCTCGGAGAAGGGAAGCAGGATCGTCGCTGGCAATTGCTCACTGAGGTACAGCTGTTAGCCCATCCTCAGCTCCGTCACTCCCTCCTCTCTCCCACCAGGCTCCTGACGAGGACTCTAATCTGCAGCTGCTGCTGTCTCTGACGGACCTGTTGGCGTCGTGTGCAGAGGGGGAGAACCTCTTCATTGAGAGTGTCTGCCAGACCATCTACAAGGTAGCCAGTTCTCCTCCGTGGCTGACATTACACCTGCCCCTCTCTAGGTGGAGGAGCTGCTGATGATCCTCAGTCACCCTCGCCTCTCTCCTGAGAGGAAGAACCCATTTGCTCGCTTCCTTATTTGGGTCTACCTGAACACTGAGGGAGACAAGTATCAGAGTGGAGCCTCCAGCCTCAGTAACAACAGGTGTGGCTTCTCTTTCTCCTGTCACAATGTCAGATGTTGTCCTGTCCATCAGCGACATGTGGCAGTACCTGGAGCACCTCTCCACACTCCTGGAGAACATTGGCATTGCTCTGAGGGCAGTTCCTGACTCTGAGAGGCAGTGGGTGCGTGAGGGAATGTCAGTGCGAGCAAGGACCACATCAAATGTCAAACGAACTTCTTCCCAAAGAGCTGTCCGCACCATGTCTCGCAGTGTCGAATATGTGACATCAAGTGGTGGAGAGTTGAAACCTGGTAGGCCTGTTTCTGCCTCACCAGTTCTCTAGCAATAACCTCTTGTTGCAGGGGTTCTGCCATACTTTGTGGATGGTGTGCTGCCTCTCTTGCGGTATTTCTATGCCAACCTCTACACACCACCCAAGTCAGCTGAGGGTGAGCAAGGAAAACAGCTGAAGATCACCCAACGTCTCTTCACAAACCTGCTGGTTCGCCCCCTCAATCAACCCCGGAAAGATGAGTAGCTCCTGTGTCTCTGTCTCTGTCCGCAGGCCCTGTGTGATGTTCTGATGGTCTACTTCACCTCAGAGGCCCAAGTCAGGCTGTACAGGAGTACAGTAGTCACCCTTGTCAAGTTTCCAACTGCAGCCATGAGGACAGCAGACGTTGAAAATGTGAGCGAAACATGCCTTGTAGGACTTGAATCAGAGCTGCCTTGTGACTGCAGATGCTTAAGAACTTTGACCGTAATACAAGGGAGGGTAAGTGTGCCTGCTGCCCCGCCCGTGAGCGGTACATTCAGGAGTATGAACATGAGATCAGACTCAATGAAGAGTTTGACGGATTTGTTGCCTACTTCCAGCAGGCGTACGAGGGTCCGAACACTGCACGTGCACAGACGGGGTCCAAATACGACACACGTAGGTGGAGTTGTGTAACCATGGAAATATCTAACCCTCTCCTTGGTCTCCAGCCTACAGTGAGGGAGATGAGTGTCTCCCTCTCGGTCCTGCCTTCCAGGTAAGTGGCAGTCAGATTGTCCTTTCTTCTGTCATAAATGGTGTCTTCCTCACTCAGGAACACGTGGGTTTGTTTGTGCGCCAGTCAAGGGCAGGAGGAGGAGTGGGGCTACCGATGGTGCTGACTGGCGGAGGAGACAGAGAGGAGGTGGAGCTGCTGCGTCCCGAGACTGCCCGGCTCTTCAAACAGCTAGAGTCAGTCTCTTCTCTGTGAACATTGTAGCAGTGCCATTGATAAGTGTCTGCTGCTCAGGATTTCATTTCAGAAGTTGAAGGATTTGGACGTGGGAGATCGACAGAAGCAAGATGAGCTAGACATCAAGAACCTGCGCATCCTGCGGGCCATTGTGTACAATGAGATCATGAACATCGACACAGAGTTGAGAGAGGAAGACCCAGCCAGTTATCGCCGGCGCTGCATACACAAGGTCCAGCCAATTCAGAACAAACTGCAAAGTTTTGGCAATGCAGTGTCAAGGGTAAGTGGACTTGCCATCATGTATTTGTACTGTGGTGCACTGTGTGGTGCAGGTTGTACCTCTGCTCTCACACCCCAACGAAGAAATAGTTCGAGAAGTTCTGGCGTTTCTGAAGGTCATGTTGTACTCTGGCAACCGTAATGTGCAGCGTGGCTTTGAGCACTTGCTGGAGACGAGAGAGGAAAGACTGTTCACCACAATGAAGGGTCTGTTACAGCACGCTCGCTGTCACCTACATTGAGAGGTAATCACTGCCTAGAAAGCAAATGTATGGTATTTTTTAGCTTCCCGGGTTTCTGAACCGCAGTGTGCGCTATCTTTAACATGCGGCGTTGAGAAATCGTGTTTGGCGCTCCTCGGTGTCTCTGAAACGAGACGCTGCTTCCTGTGTGTTGCTAGTTGCCGCTCCCAAATTTGATGGGTGTCGCTAGGAATGCGTTTTACAGTATGCATGCATGACTGTGTGCAGGCGAACTCTACTGGGACAAGTCTCGTCAAGAAAAGCAACAGAGGAAGCTCTGCTCAGTGGTTTCACTCTGGAGAAAAAACAGGAGGATCCAGCCACTCTCAAGAGAACCAGGTTTCAGGTCAGTAGACCCACTTCATCTTCCTCCTCGAGGGGTGTCAGATGTCCATTAATTGGTGTGTTTATGCACTGTACATGCAAACGGTGCATTTCTGTCGTGTGACAAGGTTGCTGTTGCTATCAGCGCTCTTCCCTCTCACTGAGAGCATTTGAAAGCACTGCTGTGTGCATGCACTTAAAGAGAAAGGGTCTAGGTCGCTAGGTACCTGTGTTCACTGGATGATTGCAGGAGTCTGTGAGTGTGGTGGTGGAGCTGGTGGAGGAAGGAGAGAGGAGTGGAGAGTACTTCCCCATGGGCACTCTCGGTGGGTCGGCAGTGGAGAAAGAAGAAGATGAGGACAGAGTGGCTCTGGTCTCGTATCCCTCTCACTCGTCACGAAGGAAATCTGCGACTGCTCCAGCAAGAGCTCGCATATCATCGAGGCCAGCACTTGATGTTTTGGAAGTAAGTTAACGCTTGTGGATTGGCTCATTTATCATTGCTATCTGCAGCTTGAATCCAGCCGTACCCCTGGCCAAGGAAAAGATACTGTAAGAATATTTGACTGACTGACATGCTATGCATGCTAAGCAGATTCTTTCTGTGCAGGAGCTTGCCTCGTATGCAGTTGGAGTGCCTCCTGATGCATTGAAAGTCCTGAAGTTCCAGGATTCGGCCCACATCAAGCTTGCCCTGGAGGTGAGTTGACTGGAGTGGTGGCCGATAGCAGAGCTACTCTCCTCCTCTGACCAGGTCCTGGGACTCATGTGTGATGGTCAGTTTAGACTGATGCAGAACTACCTGCGAGAGCAGAGGGACAACATAGCCACCGTAAACCTAGTTGGAGAGGTTGCTGTCTTTGCTCAGGTAACAGGAGAGTGTGTCGTGTGCTACTCTCTGTCAGCGTTCTCTCTCTGCAGCACTTCTACAACGACATCAACCAGGACACGATGGAGTTAGTTCACCTGATCCTTCAGACACTGATTGAGATGAGTGTAGGGAACTTCCCCAATCAAGAGGTCATCTACAACCGCCTGATAGTCGATGTGGTCAACACCATCCTCCAACTCAGCATTGGAGACTACCATGAGCATGGCTTCAGTTACATTGCAGATGTGAGTCTCTCTCAAGTCTTCAGGGAAAGGAGGCTAGGATAGAACGCGAACCAGTTCTAAACATTAGGTCCTAACTGGAGCCCTTTTCAGTGGAGTCAGTTTTATGTATAGTGCACTGACCTTGGTGATACAGGAATGAAGGTGGAAATACCAAGGTAGTCTAGGACCTTGGTGATACAGGAATGAAGGTGGAAATACCAAGGTAGTCTAGGACCTTGGTGAAAAAGGAATGTAGTAAAACAGTCATATTTGTAGCACTAGAAAATTCCCAGAGAGCACAGTGCAGCCAAAGAATTATGCATTATAGGTGGTAGCAGGTCCACCATCTCCATGCTTGTATCTAAACACACTGATATAATCATTGTCCACCACACTGAAGGAGGTCCCAGTTAGGTATATACTACTACTGAAGTACTTGGTGTAAGGGTAGGCTAGTTATCAAGTGAAACTCTGGTGCCTACAGCTGGTAGACCTGAAGGGCTCAGCAGTGGAGCTGATTGAAGCCATGTTGGAGGAGACCAACCATCGAAGCTGCCACCTGGCCAAAGAGATTGCTGGCTCCCTCGACCTGGCTGCTGTGTACGACACTGTCGATGACTTCTATGAACTCATGAATGATGCGTTAGTGAAAGCAGAAAGTTACGATGACAACGCAGAGCGAGGACTGTTCAGAGCCTACCACATCATCGTTCAGCTCAAGGACTATGGGAATGACCTTGGAGAGTGGGGTAAGCCCTCCCGCATTAGCCTAGGTCACTGTGTGTACCACAATCCATTAATTTTAGCGGAGCCTCCAGAGCCGTACCCTACACTGGCCAAGGCCTTCAGCTACTGTAAATCTCGCTCAAAGTCCATTGAGGTCAACTATGAGAACATGGATGGTGACAAGATCCTCACCAAAGTGAACTTCAACCTGGATCCAGCGGTAAGTCAGTTGGGCTGGGCTAGCACAGCAATCAATGATGTGTGGGCCTCAGAATGACCTGAGGGAAGAGGTGGTGGAGAAGGTTAAGTGGCAGGTGAACAGAGACTCTGCGGAGGACAAACTGCGAGACTTTCTTGAGTGGATGTATGCCGTCAAGAAGGACACTCTTCATCATGTGAGTGTGATAGTTGTTTCCCTGGTAACCATTTTAATGCCTTGTCTTTCTCTGTAGAGAAGGCTGCACCAGCACTTGCTCACAAAACTGCTGGTCGTGTTTCCGTATGTTCCTAAGTCACCAGTCACTTGTTAGTTGCCAGACTTTTTGTATCTTGCAGGACAGAGCGGTACTACATTCTGCTGTTCATAACTCTTCTCCTCAACTTGTTGGTACTTATCACATTCAGTGTGCCTGAAGGCCGACAAAATGATGCAGAAAAGTTAGTTTATATATCATTTGTCAACCATGGTACTCTTCCTTGTGTCTCTGCAGTGCCACGTGGCCGCAGGTGGCTGGGCCAATAAAACCTGAGGTTGATGTGTTCTTTCGCCAGTACCTTCTGTACATTCTTGGAGCTGTCCACCTCATGTTCTGCCTCTGGATGGTTGTGGAATACTTTGTTGTCAACTATCCCAACTTTATTCTCCCACTGCCTTCTTTTTTCTACACTCTCTTTGGAAGGTCAGCTACACCACATTGTCTAAATATAAGGCATCCCTAATTTGCCAGATAATAGGTATCACTCCATGACATGCTACACCTTTTTGCTATGCATAGGTTTGGGCTCAAAAAACCCGAGCAAACCTACTCGTCCATCAACATCTATGGCCTGAGAACTGTGTATGTGGTGCTGTTCTTGCTTGCATCCATCCTCTCTCTTGCCTTCTATGGCTACTTCTACGCCCTGTGTCTTCTCCACATCGTTGTCAACAACGACATTCTCCAGCGAGTGCTTCGTGCAGTCACAAAGAATGGTGTGTAGCTATAACCTCCTGCCATGTTTTTACCCTTCTTTGTTACCTAACAGGAGTTTCTTTGCTCTGGGTTGCTGCACTTGGGGGTGTGATCCTGTACATCTATGCTGTCATATCCTTTGCATTCTTGCACGAGAGTGCAGACAATGAGGCAGACAGCGGCAGAGATAATGACCTGTTTTGTGATACTCTTGGGCAATGTTTCGTTACAGTGATTCGCTATGGGCTCATAGACAACCTTGGATTGGTAGGCTGTTTTCTGTGTATATACAATGTAGCAGCTGTTGCTAACCCACCAATTGCCAGGTGTTTCCACTGGTCCCAGCAGAGTTTAGAACCTCGGGGCTTCGCATCTTGTTTGACGTGTCGTTCTTTATCATTGTCACCACCATTGGACTGAACATAGTGTTTGGTATCATTGTTGACACATTCTCAGAGCTGAGGGACGAGAGGGTTAGTGCCTTCCTCATTTCCTGGGTTTATCATTTTTGTGACATTCTCCATTACAGTTCAGAACAGAGACTGACAAAAAGTCTTTTTGCTTCATATGTAGTTTGCCTAATCATGAGTTTGAGCGCAGAGCAAAGGTGAGCTTTAAATGTGCATGCAAATGCTTTAATGTAGTGTCCTTTTCCTGTAGGGATTTGACGAACATGTGAAGAATGATCACAACATGTGGAAATACATATACTATTCTATATATCTGGACACCAAAGACACCAGTGATCACAATGCTCTTGAGAAATTCGTGTACGAGATGGTAAGTGAAAATAGCAACGGTCCGACTATTGTTCTGTGCTGTCTTACTTCAGATAGGTGACGGAAAGATAGAGGTCTTCCCTGTGCTCCAGGCACGTTGCCTGGAGACAGAGGAAGACGAGACTGTGAAGCAACTAGAAGCCCTGAGTGTGATGGTCACCTCAGTTCTGGAACGGTTCAAGGAAGAGGTATGTATATACACTGTACTGAACGATAGAAAGTGTAAGGTGTGTATTATCTCTTTCTGTGTAGGAGCATGAGCGTGTGCAGCGTTCCAAGAAACAGGAACAGGAGAGGTGGGAGGAAAAAGTGCTGAGGGGGCGTGGCTCCTTGGCCTCTACTGCAATTGGGTCTGTGGAGGAATCTTCTGTTTATTGATCGCAACACTAGCCAACACTAGCCAACATTGGAATTCTGTAGAATGTTTAGCAGTGCTATAATTATACTCGGGTAGGACAATGTATTGTTAAAGTAGAATTATTATCCGTCTTGAGTTATGATCATGTCATAATTATTGAGAGGCGACATACTCTTTGGCTGCGTTTTTGATATACCTTGAAGTGTGGCAGTTTTTATTTGCGGTTAAACTGTGGACAAGATGCTTATTATGCCCAAGGTTTAGAGCCCTCTCAGAAGCAACCTTTATCCCCCAGTATGGTCTTCACTGCCAACAACCCCAAGACAGTGAGACCAAGAAAAAGCCAGGAACAATCTCCAGGGGTTATCCCCCAGAGATGGTTTTCATCCCTTATGTATAAAGTGGGAGGACTCATCAGCTGGCCCCACTCTATTATTACTGGACACACAAAAGGTAGGTATGTGCCTGGCTCTTCCTGTTACCATTTTGTGTGTGTTAAACAGAATGCAGTAATCATCACTTCAATTATTCATGATCTGCTCTGGTTAGGAGAAAAAGAGTGTAATGATAAAGTTAGAAACATTGTGTTATTTCTAGTTGTTTCCTGGGTAAACACATGGTAGTAGGGGTAATGGGTTAAAAGAACAGCAACAACTGTGAGTAAACATGCACCAGGTTGCAGTTGTTGTAGTGGTGGCTCACTAGATGACTAAGTCATTGTCCGAGTGACTCTAGTGACTCAACGACTGTTCACTGTGCCTAGGGACTTCAGTGAATTACAGTGTTAGAGCAACAGAGGTAAAGAAAAGTTTCAGCGCCATCTCAGGAGCAGCCTTATACCTTCAGAGAAAAGGTTGGGTCTTCACAGGGAGACTCCACGTACATATTCAGAGCATATCAGAAGAGTAGCACCATTAGACATCACACCTTGCACATAGACAAAAAATCTGGCATTGTTATAAGGCTAAACCTACATGTGGCGACCAGGCTCAACCAATACAAGGGGTTTGCCAGGAAAGGTGAAGTGGACAAGTCTGATGTTGCATGAGTCTTACACCATGACATCAACTGGACAGAGTGTTGACTATGACCAACATGGAGTAATACATAATTAGGTGAAGTATATACAGTAAGTATAGAGAGTGCCGATAAGGCAAGCTGTTTACATAGCTTATCAGATAATGGTGAAGCCAGGTTGAGAAAACAGAGGGCCTAAGTTGCAACCCACCAGCCACAGGTGATCATTGCCCAATATGGTACCAAGCAGGTTGCAATTCTGTGTGTATGGGGAGATTTTACTTATCACAAATGACTGATTATACACCTCAGGAGTAAGGGGAAAAACAACAGAAAATGGTTAGCAACATACACCTCTGCTAACCACCAGGTTGCAGCTGTTACCTGGTTGCTCACCAGATGGAGAGAGATAACCCTATGCACACCATGACAAGACCTTCTAAGACACACACAATCTTGTGTCATGTCTGTGGTTCACTTCTGAAGTAGGGTGCACATAATAATTCCCCATTAAAACGCACCATTACGCTATTTGTCCATAGCATCTCATCATGTGCGCACTATACCAAGGCGAGTAAAAGCAAATGTGCACTCTCAAATACTCCAACAGCATTAACTTACATGGATATCCAGTGTCTATGTAGCTGAATCCATCATTCACAACAGCTACAGCTTGAGCAGAGGGGCTTCCAACCATGCCTGCAAGAGAAAAAAGTACAGAAAATTACCTCATGTACAGTGGTGAAAATCCGTAAGCCAGAATTTACAAAAATTATTCATACCAACTGAAATTTTATTAGAGCCAGTGGAATAGTTCTGGGGTCAAGGAATTAGGCCCATGATACAACATGGTGCTAAATGAAATAATTGGTGTTGGACACCTGAAAAACTCATTGCTGAACACTTTAGAACACTGCTGTTCTGGATATACGTAAATATCTACTGAATAGAGAGGTACGTACTACTGCCTATGAACAAGAGATCCTAACTGAATGTGTGAAACATTCTGGTTAACACGAGGGGAAACGAAACACCAGCTACCTAAAGACAACAGGCAGTTCTATACATCGAACATATCAAAATATAGGAAGGGTTATAGTCAATGGCAAAATTGGACAGTCCAAGACACCTTGATGCATTATAAAGACCATGTGCCTTAAAATCAAGTCTGTAAGACTGTATATACCCATGCTGACAAAATTCCTGGCGACCAGTCTCAAACAACACAAGGAGGTAAGTGGACAAATCTGTGGTTGCACACATGCGTTGAACTTACAGAGTGACAGCGAGTTACTGTTGCTGTCATTGACCAGAACTACATACGAAAACCATATTAGGTGGTGTAGGATAGAGCAGAAGGTCTTGAGCTTGTGAGAAACATACATCTCTTAACCAGGTTGCAGCTGTTACCTGGTGGGTCACCAGATGGAGAGAGACAACTAGACACTGTGACAAGACCTTGTCAGACTTAATTTCATGTCATGTTTGTGGTTCACCCCTGGAGTAAGGTGCAGCCCTGAATATCCTTCATTGGCTCAGGAGGCCATCAAGTTTTTCAAATATCCAGTGCCTATGTGCTTCTCACAACGCACATGAGTAAACGAAAGGACAAACCAACAATGCCTAACACTTTGACTATTGTTGGAGGTTGGAATAGCGATACTATCTTGCTGTACCTAAACACTTATTTTTCTTGCAATTTCCTTCTTTACCACCCCTTCCGACAAGTATTTGAACAGTTTTGCGTTTGTTGTACGCACATGAGTAAACGAAACGACAAACCAACAATGCCTAACAGTTTGACTATACAGTAGGTTGGAATAGCGATACTATCTTGCTGTACCTAAACACTTATTTTCTAGCAATTTCTTCACCACACAAGGATTTGAACAGTTTTGCATTTGTTGTACGCACATGAGTAAACGAAACGACAAACCAACAATGCCTAACAGTTTGACTATAGTTGGAGGTTGGAATAGCGATACTATCTAGCTGTACCTAAACACTTATTTTTCTTGCAATTTCCTTCTTTACCACCCTTTACGACAAGGGTTTGAACAGTTTTGCATTTGTTGTACGCACATGAGTAAACGAAACGACAAACCAACAATGCCTAACAGTTTGACTATAGTTGGAGGTTGGAATAGCAGTACTATCTAGCTGTACCTAAACACTTATTTTTCTTGCAATTTCCTTCTTTACCACCCTTCGACAAGGGATTTGAACAGTTTTGCATTTGTTGTACGCACATGAGTAAACGAAACGACAAACCAACAATGCCTAACAGTTTGACTATACAGTAGGTTGGAATAGCGATACTATCTAGCTGTACCTAAACACTTATTTTTCTAGCAATTTACCAACAAGGGTTTGAACAGTTTCGCATTTGTTGTACGCACATGAGTAAACGAAACGACAAACCAACAATGCCTAACACTTTGACTATTGTTGGAGGTTGGAATAGCGATACTATCTAGCTGTACCTAAACACTTATTTTTCTAGCAATTTACCAACAAGGGTTTGAACAGTTTCGCATTTGTTGTACGCACATGAGTAAACGAAACGACAAACTAACAATGCTTAACACTTTGACTATTGATGGAGGCTGGAATAGCGATACTATCTCACTGTACCTAAACACTTATTTTTCTCGCCTATTCCTTCATTACCACCCCTTCCGACAAGGGTTTGAATGGATTTGCATTTGTTGTATGTGAGTAAATGAAAATTAATGACAAACCAACCATGCCTAATATGTTGAATATAGTTGCTGCTGCTAACAACCCCAACACAGTCAGACTCCACATACATAGATAACAGAGCAAACCAGAAGAGTTGTAATGCACTGCATGACAGACACAATGGCATGGAAGGTATACAAACACAATTGTGTAGTCAGAACTATAGGACAAAGAAGAGAATGTGCTGTATACCTGCAAAACAAGAAAAAGCCAGAAACAATCTCCAGGGGTTATCCCACAGAGATGGTTTTCATCCCTTATGTTTATAGTGGGAGGACTCATCAGCTGGCCCCACTCTATTATTACTGGACACACAAAAGGTAGGTTTGAACAGTTTCGCATTTGTTGTACGCACATGAGTAAACGAAACGACAAACCAACAATGCCTAACACTTTGACTATAGTTGGAGGTTGGAATAGCAAAACTATCTAGCTGTACCTAAACACTTATTTTCTTGCAATTTCCTTCTTTACCACCCTTTACAACAAGGGTTTGAACAGTTTTGCATTTGTTGTACGCACATGAGTAAACGAAACGACAAACCAACAATGCCTAACAGTTTGACTATAGTTGGAGGTTGGAATAGCAAAACTATCTAGCTGTACCTAAACACTTATTTTCCTTGCAATTTCCTTCTTTACCACCCTTTACAACAAGGGTTTGAACAGTTTTGCATTTGTTGTACGCACATGAGTAAACGAAACGACAAACCAACAATGCCTAACACTTTGACTATTGATGGAGGTTGGAATAGCGATACTATTAGCTGTACCTAAACACTTATTTTTCTTGCCTTTTCCTTCTTTACCACCCCTTCCGACAAGGGTTTGAATGGATTTGCATTTGTTGTATGGATGTGAGTAAATGAAAATTAATGACAAACCAACCATGCCTAATATGTTGAATATAGTTGCTGCTGCTAACAACCCCAACACAGTCAGACTCCACATACATAGATAACAGAGCAAACCAGAAGAGTTGTAATGCACTGCATGACAGACACAATGGCATGGAAGGTATACAAACACAATTGTGTAGTCAGAACTATAGGACAAAGAAGAGAATGTGCTGTATACCTGCAAAACAAGAAAAAGCCAGAAACAATCTCCAGGGGTTATCCCACAGAGATGGTTTTCATCCCTTATGTTTATAGTGGGAGGACTCATCAGCTGGCCCCACTCTATTAGTATTACTGGACACACAAAAGGTAGGTTTGAACAGTTTCGCATTTGTTGTACGCACATGAGTAAACGAAACGACAAACTAACAATGCTTAACACTTTGACTATTGATGGAGGCTGGAATAGCGATACTATCTCACTGTACCTAAACACTTATTTTTCTCGCCTATTCCTTCATTACCACCCCTTCCGACAAGGGTTTGAATGGATTTGCATTTGTTGTATGCACATGAGTAAACGAAACGACAAACCAACAATGCCTAACAGTTTGACTATAGTTGGAGGTTGGAATAGCAAAACTATCTAGCTGTACCTAAACACTTATTTTCCTTGCAATTTCCTTCTTTACCACCATTTACAACAAGGTTTGAACAGTTTGCATGTTGTACGCACACGAGTAAACGAAACGACAAACCAACAATGCCTAACAGTTTGACTCACTACAGTCCACAGTGAGGTCACTGCAACCCCAACACAGTCAGACTCCATCAATAGTCAAAGTGTTAGGCATTGTTAGTTTGTCGTTTCGTTTACTCATGTGCGTACAACAAATGCAAAACTGTTCAAACCCTTGTTGTAAAGTGTGGTAAAGAAGGAAATTGCAAGGAAAATAAGTGTTTAGGTACAGCTAGATAGTTTTGCTATTCCAACCTCCAACTATAGTCAAACTGTTAGGCATTGTTGGTTTGTCGTTTCATTTACTCATGTGCGTACAACAAATGCGAAACTGTTCAAACCCTTGTTGGTAAAGAAGGAAATTGCTAGAAAACATTGTTTAGGTACAGCTAGATAGTATTGCTATTCCAACCTCCAACTATAGTCAAACTGTTAGGCATTGTTGGTTTGTCGTTTCGTTTACTCATGTGCATACAACAAATGCAAATCCATTCAAACCCTTGTCGGAAGGGGTGGTAATGAAGGAAAAGGCGAGAAAAATAAGTGTTTAGGTACAGTGAGATAATATCGCTATTCCAGCCTCCATCAATAGTCAAAGTGTTAGGCATTATTAGTTTGTCGTTTTGTTTACTCATGTGCGTACAACAAATGCGAAACTGTTCAAACCTACCTTTTGTGTGTCCAGTAATAATAGAGTGGGGCCAGCTGATGAGTCCTCCCACTATAAACATAAGGGATGAAAACCATCTCTGTGGGATAACCCCTGGAGATTGTTTCTGGCTTTTTCTTGTTTTGCAGGTATACAGCACATTCTCTTCTTTGTCCTATAGTTCTGACTACACAATTGTGTTTGTATACCTTCCATGCCATTGTGTCTGTCATGCAGTGCATTACAACTCTTCTGGTTTGCTCTGTTATCTATGTATGTGGAGTCTGACTGTGTTGGGGTTGTTAGCAGCAGCAACTATATTCAACATATTAGGCATGGTTGGTTTGTCATTAATTTTCATTTACTCACATCCATGCAAATCCATTCAAACCCTTGTCGGAAGGGGTGGTAAAGAAGGAAAAGGCAAGAAAAATAAGTGTTTAGGTACAGCTAGATAGTTTTGCTATTCCAACCTCCAACTATAGTCAAACTGTTAGGCATTGTTTGTTTGTCGTTTCGTTTACTCATGTGCGTACAACAAATGCAAAACTGTTCAAACCCTTGTTGTAAAGGGTGGTAAAGAAGGAAATTAACAAAAATAAGCGTTTAGGTACAGCTAGATAGTTTTGCTATTCCACCCTCCAATTATAGTCAAAGTGTTAGGCATCGTTGTTTGTCGTTTCGTTTACTCATGTGCGTACAACAAATGCAAAACTGTTCAAACCCTTGTTGTAAAGGGTGGTAAAGAAGGAAATTAACAAAAATTAGCATTTAGGTTCAGCTAGATAGTTTTGCTATTCCACCCTCAATTATAGTCAAAGTGTTAGGCATTGTTGGTTTGTCGTTTCGTTTACTCCTGTGCGTACAACAAATGCAAAACTGTTCAAACCATTGTTGTAAATGGTTTCCAGGGCTGCTGTGTTGGCTGGGATCTGGCACACGCAGTTGGAAATGTGGAGCTAGCTCTACATGATTGGGGAGTTGACTTTGCATGTTGGTGCACCTACAAGGTACTGATTGTCCTGATGTGTTGGGAGTTGTGTCTTGAACGTACTTTTTCTTAGTACCTTAACTCGGGACCCGGAAGTGTTGCTGGTTTCTTTGTACATCAAAACCATGCCAGGGCACCACAGCTTTCGAGGTGAGAATTTATATAATGTATGTTAGTGATATCTCCACTATTATAGGCTCATTGGCTGGTGGGCACATGACAGAGATTCCCGTTTGAAGATGGACAATGGTTAGGAGTTACTTAGAGAGTATTTTTGCACAATCTCATTGATCTCTACCTCAGTTTTAGAATTGCAAGCTGGAGCAAAAGGCTTCCAACTGTCTAATCCCCCAGTTCTCGAGTGCTGTTGCCTCCAGGCAAGTCTTGCTGTGTTTGAGCAGACGTCTCTGAAACAGCTGGTGCAGAAGTCACGACTGCTGACTGGCTATCTCGAACTGTTGCTGGAAGAGAGCCTTAGTAGCAAGAAGGGAGAGACTATTTCAAGTAAATGTGCATGAAGAGTGCAACTTGATATGTAACTTTCTTCTCAGAATCTCGGGTTGATGTAGTGACATCCAGTGACCTAGCACGTCGAGGGAATCAGGTCTCTCTTCACTTCAAGACACACTCAGTATCGGAAATCCATGACTATATGAATGAACGTGGCGTTGTGGTCTGTTACATGCTTTGAAAATGTTGTTTAAGTTGTAAACTTTTTGCAAATTGCAGGTTGATGTGAGGGGTCCTCTGATGAGAGTGGCACCAGCACCTCTATACAACTCGTTCAGTGATGTACTCAAATTTCACTGTATCTTAAAACAGGCAATGTATTAGTGTCTCGAGTAAAAGTTCTGTCTCCAAATTTGTTAACACTTTAATGTGAGACACTGCATGACAAATTTGTGAACTTTTCAATAAAGGAAACCTAACCTCTAATTTGTTACACACTGACCCAAATTAATGGGCACTTCCTACTGCAATATTTGTCACCGTTCACAATTTGCAGTGTGGATATTTTATTACATTAAATGTGGACAAGGTTTCAGTTGTTACTGTGGTGGCTAACTACACGACTAAGACATTGACTGTCGGAAGTCTCTACTTAACTCTTGTGACTCAGTGACTGCAGTGACCTCACTGTGGACTGTAGTGAATGTCACTCACTGAGTTAAAGTTTTGGAGCCCTCGCCTTTAACCTGCAGTACGGTCTTCACTGTAACAATGAAAAGCACTGAAGTGCAAACCCTCGGCGAACTGCCACCAACTCGCCTTCAATGAGGGACATCCCCACAGCGGGTACGAGGGAATTCTGGTCCCTGTGTCTTCTCTTGCGAATGAACGAGGACACAACAGCCTGCGCGACCAGCTGGTCCATGTCTCTGTCCTCGAACTCCTTCTTGGCCTCACACACAGTTTCCAGCCCGCTGAAAGTTCTGACTCAGAATCGCTGTTGTCCTCGATAGTGCTCCCTCGGATGATTGAGACCGGAGCGAAGTCGGCTCTCCCGTCCAAATGCCCCCGCCAGGTGCGAAGCGAGCCCATCCCCATGAACCGGGGTGAAATGGACGGATTGACGTGGCATGAGTACCATCGCTTGTTCACCTCGAACACGGGGGTTAGCCTTCGTAAAATTGTGTCCGCCACAGTCAGGAATTGCAGTCTCTCCGTTGGCTCTTCCATAATTGAGGTAACAAGCCCTGGAATGAGGGCATCGACAGCAAGTGTCTCCATCAGACGCCGAGTGGCAGCACATACGTCCCGGTCTCCTTCTCGGCCTTCTAACATTGCTCGGGACGCATCAAACAAGTCTAAGGCTGAAACCTTGGCGGGTGAGGGTTGGTACACGACCGACCCAGAAATCCTGCTAAACTCGCATGCCGTTGGACACGACTGTACCACGGTCACGTAGAAGTAGGTGTCCCTGAGGTGTGCCAACGCTTCATCCGCCATCTTAGTCTCCATGATGTATCCGCTGCTTATCCGCCTCGGCCAGTCGCGATGTCTCGCTTCATGCTCGATATGAGAAAACGCGCTCGGCCAGATAAGCGCGGGTCTTTTATAGAAAGATTGGCCAGCCAAACACCAAGCGGCTACGTATGTGAATCCTTACATATACAAGTAAATTAAAAATCCTTCAAATTTAAAAAAGAGGCACAATAGGGATGGTATAAAAGGGAGACAAGATAGGGATGGGATACATGAAGCATTTAATGAACAGATTTGGGTACGCTGACACCCCCAACCCCATCACACAATCCCTATATTGTTGCCTGGTGTGCTACTCTTATAGGGGCTAAAGGTTACTAAAAGCAAGCATTCTTTCACCGTGTCCCTGTTGTTTTTTAGTAACATTTATACTGCCACATTCCCTTTAATCTCGGCAAAAAACGGCTCAATCGATTCCTTACCTTGTCTCATTCCAACTGTCTGCTCTTCGCCACGTCCAGTGCGACACCGACGAAGCTACAGAGGTTTGTATTTCGCGCCTCGTACGACTCTGCGCAAGCGCTGCAACTCCAGTAGGCAAAACGTCATCGGTAATGAATAGTCTAGTCAGCAGGCCCTGTGGCACGGGACTCCAGCTTCCTATGAATGACGTAAGGAAAATTAGGTCATACCCAAAAGGGTGTGGCACTACTCTGTGCGCATGCTAACTCGAGCTTCCCATCGGTGACGTAAGAAGAATTATGTCATCCCTGAAGGGTGTGGGTTGTCAGAGCTAGCGCAGTGCGCGTGTGTGTTGAATTATGCATAAGTGAAATTGGTATGCGTATGTGCATATGCGCAATTGCAAAGGACGCATGTGACACTTGTTTCGAAAGAGAGAGTGTGCAGATGGACTCGTCGAGCACTTTTGGTGAGTTTTGAGGTAGTCTGTACGTGTTTAGCACACAGGCAAGGAGGCGAATACAATGTAAGGCATGCTAATTGCCCGTACTATAATGGGATGTTTTTTTGTGTACATTATAGCCACGATGCCTGACAACCACGATAAGTTTTACTGGTGTAATGAGATCTTGGCAAAGTCGGGCGCTGTATAGACGGATGAAAGAAGCAAGACGCTCGAGATAATAGAGCACAGAGAGCAGCACCTGATACCTCGTCGTCACTCAGACCGTCCTGACAGGTACATATATGTGGTTTGAGAGCACCGCGTGAAAGTTCACGGGCCTATATACCTGTAATACTCTTTGGTGATGTCAAAGTCCCCAAAAGTTACACAGAGAGATAAGCGTAGCGAAGTAGACAAAGAAGCGTGTGCTAGAATGAATCTACAGAACCCCACTCCCATTGGTGGAGTAGACAAAGAAGTGTGTGCTAGAATGAGTCTACAGAACCCCACTCCCATTGGTGACCAAAGCAAAAAGAATAGCACCACCCTACCAGCTAACCAATCAGAAAGTTTTGGGAAATGTATGGTAGTTAAATGTGGTAAAACCACAGCCAAATTTTATCCAGAGAGAGTAAAGGCCTCTGGTCTGAAATTGGGGAGATGCATTAGGTTCAGAGA